TACGTTTTGGGTGCTTGCTTTGTCTCTGTCTCTTTCTCCCTTCTCTTCTTTCTTTTCCCGTTCTTTCCTGTTTTTTCTCCAAAGCTGAGGTAGCCTAAGGACAAAAAGATGTCTGAAACCACTCTGAAACACCCGCTGCTCACCATTTACAACGCTCTCTCTCTCCTCTCCTCTCCCTCTTCCTCTCTCTCTCTCTCTCTCTCTGTCTCTCGTGCTATCCTCTTTTCCTGACCGCTGCATGTCTTTCCGGACCGTAATGTCTACAATAAGAGTACGTTTTATGTGCTTGCTTTTCCGGACCGCTGCACGTCTTTCCGGACCGTAATGTCTACAATAAGAGTACGTTTTGGGTGCTTGCTTTTCCGGACCGCTGCATGTCTTTCCGGACCACAATGTCTACAATAAGAGTACGTTTTGGGTGCTTGCTTTTCCGGACCGCTGCATGTCTTTTCGGACCGCGCTATCTACAATAAGAGTACTTTTTGGGTGCTTGCTTTTCCGGACCGCTGCAGGTCTTTCCGGACCACGATGTCTACAATTAGAGTACGTTTTGGGTGCTTGCTGTTCCGGACGGCTGCATGTCTTTCCGGACCGTAATGTCTACAATTAGGGTACGTTTTGGGTGCTTGCTTTTCCGGACCGCTGCATGTCTTTCCGGGCCGCAATGTCTACAATTAGAGTACTTTTTGAGTGCTTGCTTTTCCGGACCGCTGCTCATCTTTCCGGACCGCAATGTCTCCAATTAGAGTGCGTTTTGGGTGCTCGCTTTTCCGGACCGCTGCATGCCTTTCCGGACCGCAATCGCTACGATTAGAGTACGTTTTGGGTGCTTGCTTTTCCGGACCGCTGCAGGTCTTTCCGGACCGCATGTGTTTCAAGTACAATCTGTTTTGAGCCCCTTCTTTTGGATGTCTTAAGAACTAGGTAGCCCCATAACCGGCCCCAAAAGAGGTCTGAAACCAGTTCGACACATCTTCCTGCTCACCGTCTCAAGACTTCTTCTTTCTCTCTGTCTCTTTCTCCCTTCTCTTCTTTCTTTTCCTGTTCTTTCCTGTTTTTTCTCCAAAGCTGAGGTAGCCTACGGACAAAAAGAGGTCTGAAACCACTCTGAAACACCCCGCTGCTCACCATTTACAACGCTCTCTCTCTTTCCTCTCCCTCTTCCTCTCTCTGTCTCTCTCTCTCTCTCGCCTTCTGTTTGTCTCCATCTTCCATCTTCCTCTCTCTCTCTCTCTATCTCTCTCTCTCTCTCTTTCCCTCTTCCTCTCTCTGTCTCTCTCTCTCTCTCTCTATTTCTCTACCTTTTCTCTTTCTTTTTTCATCTCCCAAAGCTGGGGGTACCCAAAAAACAAGCCCAAAAGAGGTCTGAAACCACTCTGAAACACCTTCCTGCTCACCATCTCCGGGCTGCTGCTGCATGTCTTCCGGACCGCGTTGGCTGCTTTATCTCTATCTATCTATCTATTTATCTATCTATCTATCTATCTATCTATCTGCTCCTTTTTCTTTGGATGGCCTATTTACCACCCTGGTTATCTATGTTTATCAACTCGAGATATTAATATTTAAGATCTAAATCAGATACGGTGGTAGTAGTAGTAGTAGTAGTAGTAGTAGTAGTAGTAGTAGTGGTTATATATAGATATATAGTAACATTACTGTATTGGATTTTTTTCTGAAAACATGCCACCCCAAAAATCACATAGTTGATCGTCATTGCTTTGTTCCATAAATAGTTTCGGGTTTACATTCCGTTTCCAGACAAGTACCCTTCTACTTCCCAGTACTACTGTGTACTACAAAGCTTGCAAAAAATCCTTCCCAGTATTACTTTGTACTACAAAGCTTGCACAAACCACTTCCCAGTACTACTTTGTACTACAAAGCTTGCACAAACTACTTCCCAGTACTACTGTGTACTACAAAGTTGCACAAACCACTACTACTTTGTACTACAAAGCTTGCACAAACCACTTCCCAGTACTACTTTGTACTACAAAGCTTGCACAAACCACTTCCCAGTACTACTGTGTACTACAAAGCTTGCACAAACCACTTCCCAGTACTACTGTGTACTACAAAGCTTGCACAAACTACTTCCCAGTACTACTGTGTACTACGAAGCTTGCACAAACCACTTCCCAGTACTACTTTGCACTACAAAGCTTGCACAAACTACTTCCCAGTACTACTGTGTACTACAAATAACCCTTTGGGTACTGAGCATTAAATATTTGGTTGTCAACAGAAGGTCTAAAACAGGTCTGAAACAGGTCTGAAACAGTCAAAACGTTGCTGGGTAAAGAGATATATAGAGAGAGAGAGAGATAGAGGGAGATGTGGAAAGATAGAAAAAGAGAAAAAGAAACAGGATTCTTTTAACAAGTATGACCCCGTTGGTCTACGAGTATCAAACTTGGCTTCTTAGGGCCGTGACGTGGCAGTAACATTACTGTATTGGAAATTGTTTTCTGAAAACATGCCACCCCAAAATCACATAGTTGATCGTCATTGCTTTGTTCCATAAATAGTTTCGGGTTTACATTCCGTTTCCAGACAAGCACCCTTCTACTTCCCAGTACTACTGTGTACTACTAAGCTTGCAAAAAATCTTTCCCAGTACTACTTTGTACTACAAAGCTTGCACAAACCACTTCCCAGTACTACTTTGTACTACAAAGCTTGCACAAACTACTTCCCAGTACTACTGTGTACTACAAAGCTTGCACAAACCACTTCCCAGTACTACTTTGTACTACAAAGCTTGCGCAAACTACTTCCCAGTACTACTGTGTACTACAAAGCTTGCACAAACCACTTCCCAGTAGTACTGTGTACTACAAAGCTTGCACAAACCACTTCCCAGTACTACTGTGTACTACAAAGCTTGCACAAACTACTTCCCAGTACTACTGTGTACTACAAAGCTTGCACAAACCACTTCCCAGTACTACTTTGCACTACAAAGCTTGCACAAACTACTTCCCAGTACTACTGTGCACTACAAAGCTTGCACACACCACTTCCCAGTACTACTTTGTACTACAAAGCTTGCACAAACCACTTCCCAGTACTACTTTGTACTACAAAGCTTGCACAAACTACTTCCCAGTACTACTGTGTACTGCAAAGCTTGCACAAACCACTTCCCAGTACTACTGTGTACTACAAAGCTTGCACAAACTACTTCCCAGTACTACTGTGTACTACAAAGCTTGCACAAACCACTTCCCAGTACTACTTTGTACTACAAAGCGTGCACAAACTACTTCCCAGTACTACTGTGTACTACAAAGCTTGCACAAACTACTTCCCAGTACTACTGTGTACTACAAAGCTTGCACACACCACTTCCCAGTACTACTTTGTACTACAAAGCTTGCGCAAACTACTTCCCAGTACTACTGTGTACTACAAAGCTTGCACACACCACTTCCCAGTACTACTTTGCACTACAAAGCTTGCACAAGCCACTTCCCAGTACTACTTTGTACTACAAAGTTTGCACAAACTACTTCCCAGTACTACTGTGTACTACAAAGCTTGCACAAACCACTTCCCAGTATTACTGTGTACTACAAAGCTTGCACAAACTACTTCCCAGTACTACTGTGTACTACAAAGCTTGCACAAACCACTTCCCAGTACTACTTTGTACTACAAAGCGTGCACAAAGTACTTCCCAGTACTACTTTGTACTACAAAGCTTGCACAAACTACTTCCCAGTACTACTGTGTACTACAAAGCTTGCACAAACCACTTCCCAGTACTACTGTGCACTACAAAGCTTGCACAAACCACTTCCCAGTACTACTTTGTACTACAAAGCGTGCACAAAGTACTTCCCAGTACTACTTTGTACTACAAAGCTTGCACAAACTACTTCCCAGTACTACTGTGTACTACAAAGCTTGCACAAACCACTTCCCAGTACTACTGTGCACTACAAAGCTTGCACAAACTACTTCCCAGTACTACTTTGTACTACAAAGCTTGCACAAACTACTTCCCAGTATTACTTTGTACTGCAAAGCTTGCACAAAGCACTTCCCAGTACTACTGTGTACTACAAAGCTTGCACAAAGCACTTCCCAGTACTACTTTGTACTTCAAAGCTTGCACAAAGCACTTCCCAGTACATTGTGGCAGCAATTCAGAAAAGGAGGAAATAAGCTCCTACAAATGAAGACCCTATCTATTGTAAACGTCACTTGAGCCAGACATGCCTCATGAAATGCAAAGTAAACTAAATTAGTATTCGGATATGATTTTGCGCTAAAACCCTGGGAAGCGCAAGAAGGCGCAAGGGCGAGCGCAAGATGGATAAAGTAACGCAAAAAACTACTTAGGTTTAGAACAGCCCCCATATGAGCAGCCTTTGACAACTTGAGTGGTTATATGTGGTTATTACAGTAATCCAGTTGGATATCCAGTGGTTCATAGGGCTTGTAGAAGCCATGAGAATCCCAATATGGAGACCACGTCGATGAGCCGCGGTGGTCAGTATGGTCACTTTCTCCGTCAATCACTCCAAGGTTACTTCTCTTGATGGAATTTGATGATATTTGTTTTTTTTGGGGTTTTGGTGGACATTTCTTGAAATTATAAACTTTCCAGTGCTTATCGGAGATGTTTGTTTTCATGGGATTTTAGGATATGTGTATGGACATTTATTGAAATTTAATGGATTTTTGTGGGTACGGCAACCAAGAATAGTGATCCGCGAAGATGGATCCACAAAACAACGCTATGGTTCACTTGAAGAGAACAAAAGATTATGAGTAATTGTATATGTTTTTCAAGAACATGTTTGTTTCCGCTTCTCTTGAGTTCGCTCCAACAAGCTGTACCATCAGCTTCTATTCTAATTGGTTCTACATTTCTACTATCCTTTTTTGAATCCCCCGTTGTCCAACGCGTTGCCGTCGAACCTTTCCGATTTTAGCTCCGCCAACACAACCCGCGGCGCAGCACCGGGGCGGTCGGCGAGAAAAACGCCATGGGGGGAAGCCTCACGAAAATCTGGACACGGCTGATGGGGCTCAAGGACTACACGTGGCCCTCGGAAAATGGAGCATTTATGTGACATATAGCTATGGAAAATTGCCCATGTATAGATGATGAGGACTTACCAGTTAACAGTTAACAATGGTGATTTTCATAGCTACGTCAAATTACCAGAGGGTAACTTGGAAAACATTGGGATTTAGTAGTTCATACATAGTTTGTTTGAAAATTGCGGGTTGGACGATTTTGACGGTGGAAATTTGGGTACACCATGGGATTTGGTTGTCATTTCATGCTTCTTGGAAACCTCATAAATGTTCACTGTTTCTAGAGATTTATTGTCAGCCACCGTTGGAATCCCATAGATTTTGGGAGGTTGGCTTTGTTCAAGACCTCCTTCCGCAAATAACGCTGACTGGGAAATCCCCTTGATTTGAAAGGTGAGCAATCCCCTTAAGCCCTTGACTCTTGACTGTAGCTAGGCCAAAGGCTTCCCGCCACTCAGAATTTCCAGAATGGGAAAGCTCCTTTGGGATTGGGTCCTGGGTGTACTCCACTTTGGACAAACTAAAACTATGAGAATACTATCAGATTGATGTGCGCAGGGTCTGGAGCCCGGGCCCCTAGGGCCAGTGGCCGCTTGCCTGAGCAAAACCGGTTTGGGCAAAAAACATATCCATGTCAGTTGTTGGGTCAACTCAGTCAACTCCCCAATTTTGTTGCTTCCCCCATTTCAACTGGACACGCCATGGCTTCCAGGAGCGCAAGATCGTCATGGTGGGCTTGGATGCTGCGGGGAAGACCACGGTGCTGTACCGCTTGAAGCTCAATGAGCTGGTCATGACCATTCCCACCATAGGCGCGATCAGTGGGCAGTGGGAATGGCATGTCTGACGGTGATTTCATGGTGGTTTGACCATCAATAAATTGGGACTCTATGAGATACCTATATGGGTACCCATTTGCATATATATATATATATATATACACATACATACATATGTATATATATATATTTGTTCATGGTGGTTTCATAGTGGTTTACTTCATGGTGGTTCTGACTTAACCAGAACTTTATAAAGAATAGGACTCAATGGGTTATATAACCAACGTGACGTGGGCGATGGGCGCCTAAATTGTGGGCCTTGTTTACAACAAAATTTGATTTGATGATTAACCACCAGCTTTTGGGGGCACCATCTATTCAGACACACCCCTATGGAGACGGAGGATCTTAAATCATTACCGGACAAAAACAGCTTCCTCAACGATCCTCAGCACAAATGACATGCTAGGTTTGGAAATAGTCAGTCCCGCACAGAGGCACGTTTGAGGTTTGTGTCGACCTGAACCATAGCACGTCCATTAGTTGTGGGCGTGGTTTGATTTTAGTTTTAGTTGGCTGAGATCTATTGATTTGCTCATTGGGTTTCCTGGGGGAGATCCAATGTATATGCTGTGGGTGATAGCTTCCCATTGCCATCTTTGATTACCAGAGGGTAGGTGTCTGTGTCAGGATGTGATTTCACTGGGCTACGAGGGTGAAGTGACCAATGTCCATGGCCCAGGATGGCACACCATTGTTGGCTCCTAAAAATTGAATTGTTCATGCCCGGATTTGACCCTTCCAATTCCTGATTCTAGAGGATAGCTGTTTTCTCAGTGTTGGTGATGATGTGTTTCCCGTGTTTTGATGTCTCGCTCATTTTTTTTTGAGGCTTGTCTTGATGGGTTGTATCCTATTTTTGATTATCTTCACTGCTCTCTCTTGCCATGAACTCACAGCCGTTTCAACCCCTCTGAAACCTTAGTGGAACGCTTGAGCCTCGTCTTGCAGGCTTCAATGTGGAGACAGTCGAGTACAGAAACCTCCGCTTGACGGTTTGGGACATCGGAGGCAGCTGGGATGCATCAACTGAGAAACCTTTATGAATGGGGATACAAATGGGGATACAAATCTGCAACTGAAGGGATATCATGGACAGAAGGGGAACAAATAGTGAAAACACATGCAGAAATGGATGGGACATCACCAGCAACAGGAATCGGATGACTTGGTGTTTGTGAGCCATATTCCAACTCTATATAGGGTGATTTATCATTGATGAACCCAAACTTTAAAAATGTTGTCACATCATTTCCGTTTGAAATGCGTTTGAAACATGTTGAAACAATCCAGTGAATTCACTTCTGTTCTGGACCTTCATCACCGTGTGAAAGTAGAAGTGAGAGTTTGGGAAGGATACACCAACTGATGCATCATATGGAGCTCGAATGCAATTGTGTTGGAGCGCCTTGACCAAAAATGGTTATCCCTCAATGTTTGATTCTGAGTGTTCTAGTACAGATTGCTTGAGTATAAAATCTATAGTGGTTGTGTTTCTGCTTTGTCGTCCATGTTATTCTGACTGCTCTTTGATGACCAAGATGCTTGGAAGATGTGTTAATGTGAAAGAAACGCATCTTTGAGGGGAAAGACCAAGGAAGTCCTAAGGATTATCCCTTCGGATTCCATTGATATTTGATATGTTGTTCAATTAATGGTGATTGATGGTTTCATCTGTTTCTCATGTCATTTTTCCTGGTAGAGTCATCGCCATCACCAGCGTCTCGATGAACCAACAACGCAGATCGGAATAGAGTTTCAGCATCTCATTGGGATGATATCAATATCCATAATTCATCAGCATCCCGTCGCAGTGGTTGATTTGCCCCATATATATATATGATATATTGTATAAGATTGTTATACAGTATTTATTTGGGACATATATATATATATACATACGTACCACATTACTGGTTATACAATAATATATCGTAATACCTTGTAATCATCCAGGGTCTTCTACACATCGATCATCAAAAAGCTGTGCCCGTCATACAGAGCGGAGGTCAGGACATCATCCGCCCGTTGTGGAGACATTACTTCCTGGGAACTCATGCGATGATCTTCGTGGTGGACAGTCCTTCGGCGGATGAAACGTGATGAAAACGTGATGAAAACGTGAAACGGACGACCGATCAGGGGAGGTTTGTTGTTTCACCTGGAGATGGCATGGGGATTGTGAGGAACAAAAAATGTGGCTTTGATGATGTTAAAATTTTAAATAATCCGTTGTAAAAGCTAACAAAAAACACCTCGAGCCGCGGAGAACTGTACAGTTGGTAATTTTGGACTACTTTATCTTACTCAGAACTATGTGTTCTTTGCACTGTGGAGAAACGAACGGAGACGCATATATTTGGGGACTGAGGAAGGTCATCAACATATATTATATGTGGGATTATGTGGGTGTATCTAACAAATCCTAAATTGGGCCCCAACCAACTAAAAACAGGGATGTCGAGGCCTCAGCAAGTGAAGGCACAAATCCAAACAGGCCGTTAGCATTTTACATCATTTTACTGTGGATACTGTATGTCTAAACATGAGGTATGTCCCCACAAAACATCACAAAACCACTTTAGGAAGGAACATCAACAATAAACCCAAATTGGGGATGGTTAATTGTTGGGTTTACCACATTATACTCCCCAAATGGCAATGTTGATAGGGAAAACGATGATTTACCAATGGATTTCGGTATATCGTATTTTCTGACAAAGCCATTGCAATCGCCAGATATCACCAGGCTCCGCACGCCAGGTTCAGATCATCGCCGGATACAGGAAGCACGAGAGGAGAGGTCGACTGGAAAAAATCATGTCACACCCGGACATATCAATTTGGAAGGACCGAATTGTCCATAATTGCCTCGAATTGTGCCATGACATCTGTGGATTTTTGGGTAAATGATCCATCATATTTTGGGAGAAATCACCTTGGATGGTCCACTTGGATGGCCGATGATAGATCCAGGTGATACAGTGATACCGTAGATACCCGATTAGAATTGGGGACTGAGACATTGGTTTTCAGGCACCATCATGAAGAATCCCAAGACAGGGCCCACGTCCCATGATCTATTCGGGAACTGTGTTTGGACGAGGATTCATCATTGGTAAACAACACCTAGATGATTATATACAAACATGTTTGGATTCATGAAGGTAACATGTGTTTCAATAATTAACAAGGGGGTGCAGTGCATGTCAGCCGTTTTCCGATTCAAAATCACTGTGATGTGTGGGCTTGTGATCAGGTCATCTGGGTAGGTCCAACCGTATATGGTCACTTGAAAAAAAATATAGGGCCACCGTTCTCGACAGGAGATTTTCAATCATTGCAATGTTTGCCAGAGGATATTGCAATCATATGTGTCTGAAAATAGGAAATTGACCTCCAAATAATCTGGGAATAGCCAATTTTCCGATAAAGCCATCTTCATCTTTGGATGGGCAGAGACCCAGTAACTATCTGAGCCTTGACAGCGATAAACCACTGACTTCGCGAAGCACAGGAGCTGTGGACGATGTTGAAAGAGCCCGAATTCTCTGCGGAGGCGTGTCATCGCTATTCGCACAGCCGTTGTAGTTGTTGATATAACTTCATTGGGGCCTTGAAAGTGATTGAATGGATTTGGAGAAAGAGGGTCCTGTATGGTTTTGTGGTTGCCGATTTCAAAGATGTTTTGATTCTCCGTTTCTCAACAAAAACTCGCATGGGGATCTCACTTGCGTTTCTCTACCACAGAATTAGTGGTTTAACACAATCTTCCTCATTAAAAGTTCTAGGCCCATCTCCCATTTTTGGACACATCCAAATACTATGTACCTTTGATTTTATCCCCATTCAGATATCCATTAGCAAGTACTACATTCCATCTCTCCACTAAACTTCACAGTAACATTCCAATTCTTCATGGCAAAGCCATAATGCTTGGATTTGTTTAATGGGTGATTTGGCTTATTCCCAATCAAAAATGCAATACGGTGGGGAATCTATAGGGAATCTGTTTTGATCTTTCTGGTGGTTCCTGAAGCAAATCCATAGAAATACATAATATGCCATAAAATCCACCCAGTTTTCCTGTGAGAGCCACTCGGCTGTCCAGGCGCCCGTCTTGGTGCTGGCCAACAAACAGGATCTGCCGGACGCCATGTCGGGCAAAGAGGTGCACCGGGGAGACCGGGTCAGCTGCAAAAAGGATGACAGGAAGGTGGCCTTCCCCATTGGTTGGGGATGAATCCTCTCCAAAGCCTTCTGAAGGCCTGTTGGTCTCAGAGGACGTCAGGTGCTTTTTCTACATCCTGGCAAAGCCCCCGAGAATTGGATGCTGTACCTGGCATTTAACAGGCCCTTGCCTGACGCTCTTCGACCCCGCGATTCTGTGGAACCCTGTGGGGATCGCGCAGCATGTCCATAGGGTGTTGGTTAAGAGATCCTGTCCCCAGAGCGGGACCTTCTCAGTCGGGAATTTAAGAAAGATGCCCCTCTTCCGGAGTCTGACTCTGTGTGGAGGGTGAATTTTGACAATTATGATCTTCTAGGGAAAACATGGGAAAAGATTGTTGAAATCATAGGAAAATGTTGGAAAATGTGGGATATGTTTTGATTGATGTTGATTGTTGGAAATATGCGTTTGTTTTTGTGTCTGGTTCCATTTAACTTGTGTTGGAAAAGTTTGTAACAAAGATCAAGAAGTGGTGTACGACAGTTGGTAAAGGGTAAGTGGGAGATAAAGCTTGAAATTGCAAAGTTGAAATATGTCCCAATTACTCTTCGCATGGGTCCTTGGTTGACCGTAAATCATTTTGATTCATTTGGTTGTCTCTGGTGTCAGTAATGCTTAAGTATTGCGCCAGTTCTGTGCAGTGTCATCTCGATGACCTCATCTCAGATCGCAATATGAGGCTGACCAGTTTCCATGGATCTTTTGTTCATATACCTGGACCTATTTGCACATAGGTACAGAGTCAAAATCTACGATGCCATAATAATATGCCATAATTATGTGTTGGGTGTGAATGTGAAGATCCAGATTAAAATATGGTTTATCTAAAGTTATTCTAATATAATAGGATTAGAAATATGCTTATTAAATATGGATTAGAGGATTAAATATCTAAGATTGTGAACATGATGACTCAGGTTTCGACTATGCTAGGTTTTGACATATAACCTCATAGATCATAGAACCATTTTATATATATATATATAGTTGTACCTCAACGTGTCTACTATATAACTATATATATATATAGTTTTAATGGATTACAGCACTTATAATATGCCACAAATTATAATCATCAAAACATAACACATATAATAAGATTCATTGTAGTGTCAACCCACCAATCATCTTTTTTTACGGTTCAAACAACAATAAATAGTTAAAACCACCAACCAGAATATTATAAACACGTTAAAAAATATTTAATATATTTTGAGCAACTTATATAATCTGTTGGTAGATATTTATATATATAATGGATTATAATGGTATATATCATTATATATCTATGGCAATGTATGGTTACTTGAATATATTTCCTCCTACCAATAAGTTTTCAAGTTGGGAATTACTACGATACGTATAACACAAGCCAGTTAGATTACTGCGGAGGAAAAAACAGTAAAAAACTGTTTTTAACTTTCAATGTCTATCAATATCTTACAATCATTGTCAATGACCATCAGGTGGTTGAGAAACTCTGATTGTAGCTACTCAAAAAGTCTGGTGTAATAACACCCCTGGATGTCTCTATCGTGTTTTGGCATCAAACATTGGTGTTCAACATGGTTGAACTAGGAACACTAGAGATTTGGGAAATATGTGGGTTTGTACAAAACCAGGGATATCCAACATTTAGAAATTGTGCATGGTTAAAACTAAAGGAACCATGGGATTTAGGGTAGCCATTGCAACATTTTTTTCACACAAAACTCCATATATTGGGAATGTCATCATCCCAACTGACGAACTCATGTTTTTCAGAGGGGTAGGTCAACCACCAACCAGTAATCCATGTGAATCCTCGCAGGTCCATTACGATCACTATGGCCTCGCAGGTCTCAGAGAAGCTGGGTCTGTTGGAGATCGAGGGCCGTCCCATCTTGGTACAGCCCAGCAGTGCGCCCAAAGGTGGGTCCAGTCTTCGGGCGCAGCTTTTTTGGAGGATTTCATGGGGATTTTTCTGTAGGATTTAGCGGTTATTTAATGATTAGAATGGCTATTTAATGGTTATTTAATGGTTATTTGATGGTTATTTAATGGTTATTATAGTGTTATTTAAAGATTATTATAATGGTTATTTAATGGCTATTTAATGGTTATTTCATGGGATTTAACCAGGTCAAATGTTGATTTAATGGGAAAATATAGCACGATGAATGGTGAGGAACATAGCGCCATGAATTTTGATGATAAACATCCATGATGGTTTACTTGTTATTGTAAAAAATTGTGATTTTCCGTACTTTAATCCTGGAAAAAGATGGCAGTAAAAAATCATGGTCTAGAAACTAGCCAGTACCCCGATACTTCCCCAAAATTGGTGCTTTTAGTACTTTCGCAAATTCCGCAATTTTTATAATATCACCATGGCAACTCAAATATCCACAAAAAAATGGGAATACTGAGCTTCCATTTAAAAGCAACAAACATCCATAAATATCCACTAAAAATCCATAAGATCCAGAACAATTCACTAAAATCCAATCAGATTCACCAAAATCAAGTAAAATTGAGTTGTTGATGACCCTGAAGGTGAGGGGCTCTTCGAAGGTCGCTTGGTTTCTTTGGGGCGATGGTGAAACCGTGCAGAATCTCTCAAGATGGAGATCTGTATGGGGCTGAAGCGTCATTTTTGTTGATTCATAGGCATTTTTCATGGGAATAACCAATTTTTGGTGAATGTGGATATTCATAGGGAATTAGCATTTGCACAAATCACCTGACGAGATTCGATTGGTCCATTGCTATGTTTGACATCAATTTATTGGTGATTTTTCACGATGAAAAATCAGCGGATTCAACCACAAAAAAAACTGGGATTTACCATCACAGACAAATATTTACATATGGCTATGGGTCAAAAGCCACCTAGTGAACCTCAAAATAGCTTGTAAATAGATGTTCATCCCAATACAATTGATAGTTTTTCTAGGTTTTGACCCAGCTCCACATGTTTATTGAAGCAACCAAAAAGGCGGGTTCCGCCAGCAAACTTCAACCCATGGGAACACACCATTGCCAAAGAATGGGAAGATCAATGTCCAATTTGCCAATAGTATACATACAAGGTGGTTCTCCCCAGTTGTACGTTATTACACGTTGCTTTATAAAACCATCTAACATCATCTAACTACAATCATCTACCACAAATCCAACAGTTAATCATAGTTAATCTAATTATGTTCACCAACTTAGCTAAGGCTTGGGGGCATCACCGGACATCCGTTTCTTCATTTTGGGAGGTTGATGAGGACACCCATAGGAGGTTCCACCTGATTGTAAACAAACTGAACAACCGGCCGACCTTACCAGTTTTTTGTTATCATTACCAAGACATTGTTGTTTTCTCAGCAGAAACTGATGGTTTCTCATCCCAGACATGATTTTCTGTCGCAACTTGCCAAGTTTTTTTCTATCCTGAGGATTAGATTGGCTGACGAAAGCCATGACGCGACGTGAAAGAGCTGTTTCTTTGCGCTGGTTTTGAGCACCCGTTGGTGTGCAGATGTTGACAGATGGAAGGACTACCGAAATTTGCAACACCCGGGCCCCCAAGTGCTGCGATTGTTTTGTAGGAAATCCCTCCATTTTTGGAACAACAAGTCGGATATTGAAAGAGAATGGACAGGGCAGGCAAATCTGCCGTCCTTGGAAGCTGGAACTAGAACTCCCATTTGAACATCTTTAGCAATCTCAAGGGACCTCACTATGAATGATTGTCGATCATGTATGAGAAAACATCCAGAAACTGTGGGGCTTTTGCTCCCACTTGACGGGAGGCAAGATCATGACATCTCTTTCTCTTACACCGAGTATTCCTCGTTGATATCATTTAATTAATTGTCTTGTTGGGTTGACCATATGTCTTGGATGTTCTTGAAGAAACTGTCTGTGGTGCTTCTCACAACAACGAAAACATATACAGTAGAAGCCGCAAACATCAGACCTAAACCTGGCCTAGTTGATGTTTAAACTTTAGACCCATGCATTTTGTCATTCCCACATATGTCATCATATGTCCATCCCAGCTTCGGTCCCGGTGTTGTAAAAAGGCATGGCTTCGGACCACTGTACAGGACAGGTCCCCGCGGATCGCCAGGTCGTGTGTAGCTGGCCATCGGCCCTCGGTAACAAACAGCCGCCGTGTGCCGCTGCACCGTGTGCCAAGAGCTGGTGATGGCTGGTGCTGGGCAAAATCATGTATGTTATGTATGTTTAGTGACTAAAGTGGCAAACAGATACACATGATAAACATGATTTACCAAACAAATGCCATGATATTTTGGTGCTATTACTGCTCTATCCTTTTGTTTGGGGTTGCTGTCTAGTCTTCGTTGTCTCCTCCAATTCTGAAAGTTGAGCTACGCACATCATGCCCATCCTTCTGGGGCCCAGGTGGCTCAACCTAGCGCCAGTTCCACCCACAGGTATTTTGACAGTTGTGCAGAAAAGGCGCCACATCATGGTGCCGTGTCAAGTTCCCTTTTAGGCTACACCACCATGGAACCCTCCGCAAAGATGGGGGAGGCTGCAAGATGAATTGAATATTTAGGACGAATGGACATGGAAATACATATGGATTTTCAGAAGGTGATTTTTCATGATTTTTCCTACATCTTTGGGAGAGTTCCATGACTGCAGCGGTGTAACACAGATGGGATTTAGACACCTGTCCTGAGCTGGTGTCTCACCCAGAGCAAACGCGGAAAAACACCAGATGACGACAATGGTTGGACCCCGGCCCACTAGCTGCACTAGCAGCTAGCAGGACTCAAATATGTTTTGCAATAGTTAAACTTATTCTTGATTGCCGGGTATCAGATGCTCCTCATCCATATAATATATCATCCGTATATCGTGAAGTTTCTTGTGCACGTGAGTCCACAAACAGACAAGCATCTCGGATAATATCCTCAACTTGTTCCTTTGCTAAACCACAATTTCCAGGTCCATCAGTGCCATGAAGTCCTCCAGCCTCAAGTTCCCCTCCCGTGCAACGCGTCGCGCGAACAAGTTCACTGTCGCCATGGGCCTGTCCTTCACGAAGATTTGGACGCGATTAGTTGGCAAACAGGACAGGGAAAGCTAATAAGCTGCGAATCACATGGCCTCAGGCTGTGACTTAACTGATTTAATAACTTTATTATAGCTAATAACCTTATAATTATATAATTATAATCATATATTTATAATACTGGTTGGTGGTTTCAAACATGCTTTATTTTCCATAATATATGGGATAATCCTTCCCATTGACTAATATTTTTCAAGATTGTTAAAACCACCAACCAGAATAAGTTCAAGGGCTCCTTTTAACCATAATTTGCACAGTCGTTTGGCATTTTGTTGACCCCTTCATGTTGAAAGGATCCCTGCTCTATTCGCTGATAATGATAGATACCCTTTTCCCACTGGTTTGTTGGTGAAAGCGAGCTGTAACTCCAAGTATCACTATATTCGTACTTGGTGTTCTTTTGTTAAAACTCATGGTAGGATTTGGCAAATAAAAACGGTCCCCTCGGTTTTTTTTCCTAAGAGGACGCCATTCAAAGACCATCGGAAGCTACGGCTGGCTCGTGAGATTGGTCGAGATGTGCTGCTTGTTGGTTTCATTGCTCCCAATGGTAGGTTCTTTGCTAATCCCAGTGATGGGATACTTGGAGCCAGGGATGTTGATTTTCGCCCTTGGATTGCGGCAGTGCCACTGAAGTTTAGCAATTACATTAACAAATTGCTACTAAGTTTGGTGATAACTGTGAGAACCCTTAAAACATCTTAAAAGTATCCATTCAACGACTATCTCTGAAGACTTTTCACCGATGGCTTGAAGGGTGACGTTTCGGCATATCGTAGCGATCATCCATGGCAGGATCGCAAGATCGTGATGGTGGGTTTGGATGCAGCGGGTAAGACCACGGTCTTGTACCAGTTGAAGTTGCAGGAGGTGCTGATGACCATCCCAACCATAGGCGCGGCATGGCGCGGCTGAGATCTCTGGGAAACCCCATCCATGAATACCAAGCGTGGGTTTAGTTGGATCATACCGCTGGAGAACACTTTTTTGTGATGGTCAATGGATTGGTTTAAGGGAACATTTACAGGAAAACACCCCATATTTATTGGGAAAATCAGTGGTTTCCTGTAAAATTTCCCTTAAACCAATCCAATCAGATGGTATTGCTGGTTTATGGAAATGATACCATGGAACTCAGTGGAACGCTTTTCGTCATCACGAGGCTTTAACGTGGAGACGGTGGAGTATCGGAACATCCGCTTCACTGTTTGGGACATTGGAGGCGTAGCGGCCCAGCTGGGAGCTGGTGGTTGAACAAAGGCAACCTATGTTTTGAAGGTCCAAATCAGCCAAAACGTTGGGGTGAAGTATGAAAATTTGGCAAACTTGGGATGAATATGACGTGAATAGGGGATACAGTAATAAGGGGAGATAAACCATGTCGATTTCTAGTTTCTGGGTACATTCTAGCGACCTCACAACTCAAATGACTCCACAGCAAACGAGTGTGTGTATAGGGAACAAACCAAACCGGGCTTATTGGGGAATTACCAGCGAAATGATCAACCTGTGTTTGGACTCTCAACCACAGTTGTTGAGACTCAGATCCCATTATCATAATTTCCCCAAAAGCCCAATAATCTATATATAATATACGCATAAATCATAAACATGTATAATGAACTATATTGTATATATATATATAATCTACACAACTATGTATATGTACACCATAACCCACATGGATTCTTATCATTTCTTGGGCTTTCCGTTGGCCTTGAACAGCCATGTTTTTTTCAGTTCCGTCAGCGACATCGACTCATTTGACTCATGTGACTCATCGACTAAACGAATCGAATGCCCCAAATGGATCCAAAATGGTACCATAGTGGATGATTACAGATGTCTATAGAACATAGAACACTATTTGGGAACATGATGAGTATTGTTCTAAACATTGTGTACCGTAGTAGATGATTACATTGCCAATATAGTGATGACGGTAATTATATGGCCATATCATATATCCTGATATGAAACCAAACATTGGCCAAATTTGTTTGGTGTGTAGAGCCGCATGGGCTTGAACGACCTTTTGTTTGTTGGTTCAATATCCCTGGAATCCGAAATTATATTGCTTGAACGGTTGAAACTCTATGTTTTTTTTAGAACACACAATTATTTGGCTGAAATTTCTACTTGAGAATCCTCCAATTTTGCTGCTTGAAGCCCTCAATCTATGGAAAAACATTGGATGCAGGTCAAGATAAGATCCGTTCCCTTTGGAAACACTACTTCCTGGGTGCACATGGAGTGCCTTGGTAGATGGTGAAGTCGGGTCCCTTCGGATGATGTTGGCAAAGAAGTGCTGGTTTATGCATATCTCGCTGTGTGTCTGTGTGTGTGAGTTTGTTTAATACAATATATGTATCTATCTTGATAATATGTATATATTATATATGTATATATTATATATGTATATGTATAGTAAATTATATATTATATACATAATATATACATAATATATACAGAATATATACAGAATATATATATATATACATAATATATACATAATATATACGTAATATATACATAATATATACATATTATATGCATAATATATACATAATATATACATAATATATACGTAACATATACACAATATATACCTAATATATACCTAATATTTACATAATATATAGATGATATATACATAATATATACATAATACATACATAATATATATATATATACATATTTTTTACATGATTAATACATGATTAATACATAATATATACATAATATATACATAATATATACATGATTAATACATGATTAATACATGATTAATACATAATATATACATAATATATACATAATATTTGCTGGCTCACCCAAGGCCCTCATTTGTTGGAGTAACTTTGTAGGAACGCGCAGAGCTCAGGTGATCTTTGTGCTCGATAGCTCCCTGGCGCTGCAGTTGCGCTTGGAAGAGATGGGGATCCTCAATAGCTGGATGATAACTGGGGGTAGCCCTAAAGGAAAGCCCTACATATATATATATATATATATATATGTTCCACCAGTTAGACATGGGGATTTAAGTACTATATCTTAAGGAATCTAAGTATGGATAGTTGTTAGTCTATCAAGTAAAACCAATTCAAGTACCAACAGAAATTGAGGAATTTCCCAGACATGGAGATTTTAGCCACCAAAAGTCGGGGTATTTTTGAACCAATGATGGGGATAGATTAAAGCCTTTTGTGAGATAGATCCAGAGAAGAATTTACTGGGATAGCAAGCATCCATTGCTATAATATACTGTACACTGTACCCACAAATCATGCCACCGCCACAGCGCCAAAATTACCCACTACATTCCGGCATATTCCACCACAAATCCCGGCGTTTTTGGGGCTCGGTATGAGACAGTCAAAAACTGGACTTAGGAACGAGGAAACAACACTGAAGCCCTACTTAGGGCCCGATTTTCTTCACTAGGAATCTGCATGAATTTGCAATACATCGGTGGATCTTCCATATTTCCAAGTTGACGCGGCAATTACCTGGTATCGAGTTGTTTTTGGCTACAGTCAATTCACCCATTGTCAAAGGATGAAAGCACAAATCAAATCAAATTAAATGAACTATGTGTCAAATGACAAAGTACATGGAATGTTTTAATTAATGCATTACAGTCCACACTTGATGGTTGACTCCAAAATACCAGCATGCTCTTGGATTTCAAAGTCTCTACATCCATGCATTGAAGGTCAAAACCAAACACATGGTCCATTGAACTTAATGTGTTCTCGTGTTTTGCATTCTTTGTGTAGGGGCCTCAGTTGAAATTCCGGTTCGTCTCAGGTCAATACTGTTTGGTAAGCAACGATGCCCGTCATGACAATTGAAAAATCTTCGGATTTCACATTCAACATCTGTATTTCTGGTTCCTCCTATTACCATGCTTGTTTATTAATCATTTATACTGTTGAATCCAACTTGTTTGATGCATAAAACCCAGCTGCTAAAACCCAGTGATGTGGTAAGTTCAGTAAACATTATGTACCACGCTGTACCTCACAAAGAATTGTATCATGGGTTCCATCACACAAAAATGATACCCGGCCCCTTCATCTTGCATCTGGCATCCCCATCTTCCATCCCATGATATAAACAAAACTGATGCCCATCCCCAAGAAAGAATGACCAGTGATTCAACCAGTGATGTTAGTCACATCAATCCCCATCACATTTTGATGATGGGCCTGGCTTAGCCCCTGGCTTAGCCCATCGAAGCCAAGGCTCTGACCGCAAGCGAGTTCAAGAAGCTCGGGAGGACCCACCGTCCTAAGGGATATGACCGTGAAACAAAGCGGAAATCATGGGTCGTTTCTCCCAAGATGTTGGTGTTTCTAACAATGTTCAACCATCCTTATCTAAATATTTTGAGGATTCAATATCCACCAAAAGTAGAAAAATGTATATATTTACCTTATGTATCCTTATGTACTATAGTTTCAATGTGTATGCATGTGTTTGTTGATATTGTGTGCACCAATCGCTAAAGCTTTAACATCAATATCCTCATGAAAGCCACGAAAAATTGCAGGAACTGTGGAACATGTTGCGAGACACCGAGCTGGAGCAGGCGAGGCAAAAGCATCGCACATGGCGACCGGACCAATTGGAGTGATGTTAGTAGTATTTGTTTTGTAAAATTGGTGATTGTTTACTATTGCTTTACTAACATAGCAGATATCCATGGATCAACATTCCCCCAAGGTTTCTGAGGTGCGTTTTTGTGAAGAGGGAGAAGGAATTACATCTCTGCAGTTTCACCATTTTTGAATGTGCTTCTTCTGGAAGCGAACATGGCAATAGACCTACAGTATGTGTTTACTATTCATGCGAATGTCCAAGGATATTGCACTGCCAGACTAGAGGCTATCTCACCAATTGAGTTGGATAATCAAGTATTATAACTTGCTGGAATAGTTATGTTTCAGTCAAAGATCCATAAAGATCCTCTAGCCATCTCTAGCCCAACAGTAGTGGTCCACTTTCCAAGGCCTGGGCTTTTTTTTCCAGCGCCCAGGCGGCATGTTTGATCTTGGCCAACAAGCAGGATCTGCCAGAGGCCATGAGCTGCAAAGAGGCCAGGGGGATGAAGCTGTGAAGTTTGCTGCTTGGTGTCAACTATGTGTACTTGGTATCACGATTCAATGATAACACACTAATATCATAGTATATAAATTATAGTACTTATGATCCTATTGATAATAGCTTCATAGTATATATTATATATGTATATGTGCGTATAATCATCATAATATTGATGATCATATAATGTGTTTTTATAATAAGCTTAATGGTTGAGTCTCACTACGTGTCAAAATAACCGTGATGGTTCAGTATTTTATACTATTTGTTGTTCATTGTGGTATCATAAAGTCATGAAGCATATTTCATGATTAATATTGTTTAACTGTTTAGCTGTTTCTATTCTTGTTGTTATGTTCAGCCGTACTTGGGATGCTGATCCCAAATGAAGATTAGTTGTTGGGGGAATGGGTAAAATCCTTCATCAGTATTTTAAAAAATGGCTGGCACGATGGGATGCATTGGTGATGTTGGATATACCAACCAAGAATCGGTGTTGCGTTCGCGTTGGCCCAGTGTTCAATTTACTTTTTGACGGCCCATGGCTCATGTGTAGTCGCTGTAATGTCAGATGACGCTTCCCTTATACAACATATAACCATAGGAAACACACAACTCAAATACACCACTTGGATACATGCGAAAACACGTAAATACTATTACATACACAACCATTAGAATCGATATTTCATCCAAGGGCAATCATTAGATAGATGGTTTCTGGCAATCAAAATGTCCAGGCACTGAGAAGACTTACCATTTCATGTTCATTTTCCCTACGATGAGCTGATACCCAAATGACCAGCCAGTCAGCCATGTTGACACTGGAGGGTAACCCACGGCTATGCAGATGCTTTTCCAGCTCAAATCTCCAATCCTACTGTAGTTACTATATTTTACTATGATATATTCTACTATTATCCTGCAAATATCCTACCATGTTGGATTGCCCAGTTGGTGTATCCAACCCAATACCTCCATGATGATGGTCAAATCTCTGTTTGAAGAATTTGCGGTATATCGTCATCCATATCCAATATGTTCATAGTAATTTCCATGATATTCCATTAAATAACGACTAACTAGTACCAATATCAGATTTGATCTGAATTCCCATGATAATCCCATGACATTCCTATGACATCCAGTACCATAGATATTATATAACGCTATTCCAAGATTCATGGTATAGCATGGATATTCCTATGATATGCCTATCAAATACCAACTCTTACCCAGCCATAGGCTCTCCAAAGACCCCAAAAACATAGCAACAGTACGAAAATTATGGCGTAGAGCACCATTTTTATTGATAGGTGTATATTGATGTATATTGATAGATGATTTTCCAACATACTCCCCCATGTTATTGCTAATATTCCCATGACATTCCAGGAGCATACAGCGGGTGCCAGAATTATAGAACGGAGCCAGGAGTACAAAAGTACGGTAAAATACCGTACCTTTGTACTCCTCCGGGTTCCGATTCCGCGCGGAGTCGGGAAATTTAATTATAGAACGGGGATCCCTTCTATAATTAAATTTCCCCGTTCTATAATTAAATTTCCCCGTTCTATAATTAAATTACTCCTGGCTCCGATCTATAATTTCTGGCACTGACATGATATTTACTGCATATTTGTACATATACAATCTATAAAATGAAGATTTAATGAGGATTTATTGAGGATTTGATGAGGAAATGAAGATAAAATGCAGATAAAATGACGATTTGATGAGAAAACGAGGATAAAATAAGGATAAAATGAGGATCAAATGAAGATAAAATGAGGATTTGATGAGATAACGAGGATAAAATTAGGATAACATGAGGATAATGGGAAATGTGGGAAAAATGGGGGAAAACATAATTATAGAACAACAGCGCTCCGACAAGAATTATAGAACGACGAAAAAAGTGAGTAAATTCAGATACGTTTTTTTTCTACCTTCCGAGGAAAACAGAATTATAGAACAACAGGGTACGGTAAATAACCGTACCTTCGTACTCCTCAACTTCTGTTCTATAATTCTGTTTTCCACCATTTTTCCCAGATTTACCAGGTGATTTTCTTAGATTCCATGGTGATTTTATAAGATGTCATGGTGATTTTATGGGATTTCATGGTAATTTTATGGGATTTCACGGTGATTGGTGATTTTGTAGGATTTCTGGGACCCCGGAAGAAGTTCTATAATTCTATAATTAATTTTTCCGTTCTAGAATTAATTTTCCTGTTCGACGGAAAATTTAATTATAGAACGGGGCCCGGGAAACATTAATTATAGAACGAAAATGGGAAATGTGAGAAAATGGGGGAAAACATAATTATAGAACAGCAGCGCTCCGACAAGAATTATAGAACGACGAAAAAAGTTAGGAGTAAATTCAGATACGTTTTTTTTTCACACCTTCCGAGGAAAACAGAATTATAGAACAACAGGGTACGGTAAATAACCGTACCTTCGTACTCCTCAACTTCCGTTCTATAATTCCGGCACCTACAGTAGACCAACGACAAAAAACGCTGCACTGACAGGTCGCCGAGGAGCTGCAGCTGCACGAGCTGCGCAGTCACCGGGGACGACACCATGTGCAGCCCACGAGCGCGGCCCATGGTGCGTTGGGCGATGGATCATGTGTTTTCCTTGGGGAATGGTGCAAAAACATGAAAATCAGAACATGAAATTGAGCTTGGCTCAAGAAATCTTTTTTTTTGAATCACATTTCCAAGTTAGAGGCCGAAAAGAGTTTGTCCCCTGGCAATCAGACTTGCAACACCTTGCAACAGTGAAAATTCCCTCGTCTGAACATCAATCAAATCAGTTTGTTAGTCAGTTTTCCGGAGGATTTCCATCAGAATCTGATTCGTAGCTTGCGAGCCATTGCCAAAAAGTACCCCCTATGGAAAGCAACCTAAGTGACCACCCATCCAATATTGGTTCAACACATGATTTCACCATATTCTAGTCACAGTCTCAGTAGGAGTTTCTAGTGAAACTGAATCAGCCACTGGCATTGTTGATGGTTTCCACAAGATGAAAACAATTGCTCTTGGCCCCCCCAAAAAAGTAGTTTCACACCTACTCAGCGGATCTTCCATTCCCATTGCCATTGGGATTTCTGATGGAGAATCCCATAACAGACCATGTATGACCAAGTAAAGGAGCATACAATCATATCAAAGCAATATGCACTTGAGTACACTATAATATATTATATAATATATATATATATGTATTAATATATAGTATTGATATCTGGAAAAAATCATGGTAAAACCTCAGGAAATGATCCGAAGAAAATTCATGGCGGTTCTACGATCCGAACATCGACACCAGCCACGGTGTCCCAGCGAGCGGCAACGGAGCCAGGTGAAGGAATCTATGAGGGCCTCGACTGGTTGTCCCGAGAAATGGTGAGATGAATGGGCTGAGGAGAGCAGCGGGGGATAATTTTTTGCAGGGGATTTTTGCCATTTTTGGTATATTTATTTGTAAAGAATGGTAATCAAATATGGCAGAAATCCCCTGGAACATGTCCACTCAGATGGGAAAATGATGTGTGCTGGATTTTCCATTGCCACCAGAGGGTATGATAAAGACTGGTATCGGACAAGTGCTTTTGAAGGGCCAAATTAAACTAAATTAGACACGGCAGAATTGAATGGACACAAGAGAGTTCCCTCTAGATTGTCCTATGAATGAACCATTAGTGACAATGATATCCCTTTTTCCAACATGTTTTCGTTCACTTCAGTGGACTGATGTTCCATCAGCCAAACTCCGCCAGGAGAGAGGACACTAATAGCATCACTGATAGCTTTCCGCTGCGAGTAGCAGAAGTGTCACAGTGTATGCAGTCTTACCGCAGACGCGGCAAGAGGCACTGGACTTTCTGACCAAATTTTGCCCTGAACAAAGCTCTGCTCAGGGCGGCATGGCGACCCTGCTTTTTTGTACAGCTTCAACTGTCGCCAAACTCGCAGTGGGAGTGTCAAAAAGTTGGGGAAGTGCCAGGTGCTGATGTGTGCCCTGGGGAATTCATTCAACACAACAGGTGGTGACTGGACTCTGAGGAATTGTCATAGCTATGTTTGATTGTTCAATGCCTCAAGCTTCCACTAGGAACAGGCACTGCTTGCCGCCTCAGGTTAATAGGTTGGTATTGAGTAAGATAAAGAAATATATTTGGGTTATACTACACATCAATCCCATTTTTTTACAGGTAAATCATCATGAATTATCATCTATAAATACATGAATTGGCCAAACCATGTTACTCGTACAATATGGTACAGCAGAACTCATCTATAAATATGCCATTTCCATCCATTTCCTATTTCAAACTGTTAAATATTCAGAGGGTAAATCCCCACTAAATTACCATTTATAGTGGTGAAATTCTATTCAATACCATGAAATTCTAAAAAAAAATCACGTTAAGTCCCAATAAACATCACTAAATCACCATTAAATCACAATAAAATAACATTAAATCACCATTAAACCCACCTTTTTGTTGATTCTTACTACGTTCGCCGGATCTGGGCTTGGCTCGGCCTGAGGTGATCCCTTCGGGCCCAAGAAAGCCGCCCTGGGGAGGTCTTTTGCCATTTTTGGGGCAAATGAGACATTGAAATGGTGATTTGATGGATATAGCCAATATACTGTACATATATATACATATATATATATACAGTAGCAAGCATGCTGTTGATTTCCCCCTGCGTGAGACTTGACTGTGTATCTTCTGCAAGTAAAACATGTCTTGACTACGTTTGGTCTGTGAATGTATTCATGCTCTCTGTTTGAGCAATTTTGCCCGCCCAAGTTTCCCTTCCTTCTTTGGTTGAAGTTTTTAGTTTGTTGCACAATTGAATCCGATCGCCCAGCAGACCGCTAAATGAAGATCATGTAGACCTTGTTTGCGTCTCAGTACAAATCTGGGGCCCCGGATTGCATTCTGGGGTCCTGATTTGGGTCATATTTTGGTCCCTGTTTCGGGTTCCATTTTTGGGCACCGTTTTGGGCCCCTACAATTACATTGGAAGTCAACCAGTCTTCGGCATCAGTTTCACGCACCTAGTTTAAATTCCCGTGGCCTCTTTCCATTTCACCTGGCCGAAGCACAGCTGGATCCATCTACTTGCTTCGGCAGGCACGGCTCCGCTAGAGACAAAAAAGTCACTTTCCCACCTTACACCTCTCAAACAAACACCTCCTATAGAAGTCAGCTTTCCGGACGACGTCCTTTGCCAAAGCATGTGACTCACGCAGATGCAAACACGCCTCAGCCCTTTCCTGGCAGCAGACACAAAAAGACATGGTTCTTACCATGCAATGTTGTCTTACTGTGAATTCGATCGGTCCTCATGCCATTGCTTCTTTTCTTGACCGCTGTCTCCTGGAGATGGACATGGCACATGCCATTCCGGGGTCTGATCCAATTCTCAAACATGTTGCAAAGTTGGTTCTTTCAACAAAAACTGACACAAGCTTCCGTCAAATTCACGAACTTACAGAAGCAGAACCCAAACACAAAATGAAATTTGCCAGAAAATCCATCCAAAATATTTCCATGCAAATGTAAAGTCAGCAGCTTGGAATAAAAACAAAATCTTTAAATCTTCTAGAAACATCACAAACGGCCTAAAATTGTGTCAAGGAAGGACGGTAAGCCACGCATTTAAACCCGTTTCAGTTGCTACGCCTCGACGAAACCTGCACACTCACATCTAAAACCCAAGAACCAGGGAAAAGTCACCCACCCACCAACCGCTTGCAACCGAAACTACACTAGAAGGCGCACAGAAACCAAGTAAAACTGCTGGATTGGGAGCCAGCGCAAAATGTTTTCTATCGGCGTTTTTCACTTTTCTGACGAAGCATTGAAAGGTGCAAGGAAGCGGCGCGGCAAACCACGACTTGACCAACACATGCGCAGCAACCTTGAGGCGTTGCAGCGAAGTCCGCCAACCAAGGAGGCAATAAAAGTAGCAAGAAGCGGCCGCAAGATTGAGCAAAATGAGGTTCCAAAACCAGGGCCTCAAAACAGGCAGTTTTGCGGTGACGCATGGGCGTACCCACATAGTATATTGAACTATATATGATATATGTACATTGATTTTTTTTTGGGCAAGTGATTTTTGTTGCATCAAATATATGGATATACATGTGGATATACATGTGGATATATATATATATGTAGTGATTTGATGGACAAACATCATTAAACCTATGGTAATTATCATTTTGTAGGTGGCTTGTTTTGTTTCCTCAAGGACAATGGGGACAGGATAATTTACCAGAATTTTACATGATTATCATGATTTCACCATCCAAGATGTGACCAACAAACGTGGGTGAGCACGCAAAGGGCATAGTCGCGTGTCCCATTCCCTCTTGGGATTCATACACGGGTTCAACAGCACTGCCTGGTGGCCATATGAGGGTTACCTGCCCAGGCAATAAAGGTGTTCAGCATAAATGTTCGGGTGTTTCCCCGTAAAGTTGGTTGAATCCCCTTCAAGGACCTTTATACTTACTAGTTTCATCTAGTTTCATCCATTTATGGTTGGTTTATCATCTGCTTGATCCATGTTTATCCCACATTTTTGTTGTATTTTTCCGGGTTCAAACCCCATTTCTTCTTCGGTTGGTGGCGAAACTCGCACGCGACCGCTCTACCTACTTCGCGCCAGGTCGTTCGAGGGGCTGCCGGAATTCGTACAACAGGCCGCGCATGAAAAAGGAACAAAAGGCAGTTGGTTCATGACCATAGAACATTACACTTCCCAATTTATTTACAATTAACTATTCAATTCGGATTATCATATTCCGTAATTGGGCTCCCCATTTACCAACCAAAAATATACGGGATTGTTCAAGATTTGTTGACACTGCTCATAGAGGGGCGTGCTTGTGATTTCAATGATAAGAGTTGATCATACGAAGAAGTGGAGTCTGGTGGGAAACGATATCTCTTCTGTGGATAGATTCTAGCGACCTCGATGTCACTGGAATGTTAGTATTAGGGAATCATCCCAAAAACATACTTTAATTCATCTAGATTATTGTACGAGATTTTCACCCGTCCTGGATGTTGACACAGGAAGCCGACTGGAATGCGCGGCACCATGTCCTGCACTCGTCGGCGAACCACGAGTTTCACGAGTCCGACAAGGACGCGGTGGCAGAGTGGTTGACGGGGGATGGGTCCGTAGAAAGCAACAGACGCCTGACTGGGTGCAGTTCAAAATTTCTAATGGTTGACTGTTTTTTCCCCCTGAGAGAATAATATCATATCATACCATAATATCCTATCATACTAGTATCACAACACATCACATCGAATCATATCATATCATCGTATCACACGTTGATATCTTAAGCGAACCAGAGGTCCTACTGATGTCTGATGTTTGCCCGTGGGAGACACCATCCGGCTGCCCCTCAAATGCGGTAGTGCGTCGCCAGGACTCAGATAGCTTTCTGTGTCAGAACTGGTAGCTTAAGCCTCAGGGTTCCCTCATCGTCTGTGCCCCTAAACCGCTCTTGGGGCTATAGTTGCTCGAAAGGTGGTCTTTGAATAGAGGCGCAGATGATCCGATGGGCTTAAAGTGCCACGCAGGTCGCACAAACCAACGTTGCGCAGGCTATCGTCTGTGCCCCTAAACATTCGTTGTGCTCATGGCAAACGTCACTTTTTGAGGGAAGTCTCCCACGAAAGCTTCGTTTTCCCATCTTCAACCTTCACTTTTTGAGGGAAGTCTCGCACGACAGCTTCGTTTTCAGTTCACTTCAACTTTCACTTTTTGAAGGAAGTCTCGCACGAAAGCTTCGTTTTCACATCTTCAACTTTCACTTTTTGAGGGAAGTCTCGCGCGAAACCGTAATTTTCTAGTGATGTTCTTCCTATATGGTGCTATGATAGTTCCCCCTCCTTCCCAACCTAAAGGGTCGTACCCCTCAGAAGTATGTTTAGAGTGATATTCTTCCTATATGGTGCCATGATAGCCCCCGCCCTCCCAACCTAAAGGGCCGTATCCCTCAGAAGTATGTTTCATATGGTGTCATGGTAGTTCCACCGTATCCCTCAGAAGTATTTTTCTAGTAATATTCTTCCTTAATATGGTGCCATGATAGCCCCCGCCCTCCCAACCTGAAGGGTCGTACCCCTCAGAAGTATGTTTCTATGTGAGAGTTCAGGGGCGCATTTGATCGTTTTCAGGGGCGCAGATGATCGTTTTTTAGGGGCGCAGATGATGAGTGAGCCAGCCTCAGCGCGCCCAAGAAAATTGGAGAGTAGTAATTTTAAAGTACCAACACCAATGCATGGGGACATAGAGAATCACAGAAATATGTTCAAACAATTTCAAATTCATTTTTTCAAAACAGCATTTTGATGTTCAATGCGGGCCATCTGCCTGCTCCAGGAGTATTTCTCCATTTTCCTGGCAGCAAGGAACAAACGCGTGGGGCGGCTGAGATGGTCTTGGAAAAAAAACACCGTTGAAGCAACACGCATGGGGGATTTAAGTACAACAAGTTTGAGATAGTCCAATGACATGTAATGAACTGGTGTATCAATCAATGAGCATGGTTGGTGGTGTCAATCACTTGTCCATTGACACCATATTTTGAAAATCATTTGCGATTATCCTTGATGACGACTGTGTTTTTGGCGCAGGCGTAAAGCCATCAGGCACGTAATTTATGGAAGAAGAACAATAGGTCGTTTTTATAGCCCTTTAGAACTTTAGAAACTAGTTATAGTACTACAGGCAGTCATGAACTAACTTCGTTATCTAGGGGGCTCCACCACAGAGTACACAGTCTCTGGTGTTCTTTAGGATCAGCAAATAATGAGGAGAAGGGGGTGTCTGAAAATAACGATTCAACCGTGGGATTTTGGGCTATAGGACCAACAGTCCTGCAGAGGAATAACTGGGGAATTGTCATCGAATGCAAAGCCGACATCCATGAGTTTCTGTCTGACTTCAATACCAAATAAAATAGTCCATCCCCAGTTTACCAGAATTTGTGTATCAATTCATCCCTAATTCGAGGCTGATTGTATCCTATTTGTTTGGCTTGCCAGCTTTACCACATTGTTTGGGATGATCTGAAACTGACTCCCACATCACGCTTACGTGCCCCCCTGTTGCACGTGCCACGGTGCCACTATGCCGCCATGACCATGTCTCGAGGCTTTGCCGAAGCGGCAGAATGGCATCACAGCACACCTTTTCCCTTATAGGTGCCGGGACCCAGCAATGGATGCATAAGGAAGGTAACAAGTGTTGCTGTACCATTGCAGCCTTTCACAGTGGCTACATCTTTGCATCAAGGAAAACATTCAACCATATTAGTGCTCCCTTCAGGTATCATTGCTGTGTCGTTATATACGATAACGTAAATACTGTATACTATGTATAGTATATAGAATACATACATACATACATACATACATACATACATGCATGCATGCATGCATGCATGCATAAAATAAAATAAAATATAATATAAGTTAATATAATATAATATAATATAATATATATATATGATATACTATAGTATTTACAACTATACATATACTATTATACTATAATAATTATACTGTTTTGGTTGGTTTGGTGTCTTGTGCCTTTCCCTTGGCTCCCCATTTGCATCCAACGTCTTAGACACCCACGTTTTCTCACGGATGTCAGGCTTCCAGGAGAGCCAAGCGGTGCGGCAGCAAAAGCGGCAGTGGGGCAAACGAGGTAAACCTTGGTGAATGGTTGGTAAAATTTGGTAAAAAGTTCATCTGATTCTTTGGTTTATCACGGTTTTATCAAGGTGTGGCCACATTTTTGTTGTTTATCTTGGTGATTTGATTCATTTGTTTTTAGTGACGTTATGTTGCCAAAAAAATATATGCATGCTGTTGGTGCAACGTGTAATGTTAGCGATCCCAGCCAGGCCAAATCCAGCATATTGTGGATCCACTTCTTGTTCTCTGGCAAACTTAGACCGACTGTGATAGCCTGGGTGTAGATAGTGTAGATGATGTCCTGGTGATACGAACCAGCATGTTTGTCGGTTACAGTATATAATACTTATGGTCCGAGATGCATGCTCAGGATACACTTACAACACAAATGATGCAGCTAATGCTTTCAACAAAAGGCCATTGACTCTTGACTACCAACGACCATATATATAGTATAACATAGACCCGGGCAAGCCGGCGGCGGAAGTTTCCCAAACATAAATGACCTATAGTTCAAAGACAGCCTGTCCCGACCGTGTCCTTCCCTCGACACTCCACACCGCACACTGCACACTGCACTCTTCGCACTCCAAACTTCAAGCTTCACACTCCACACTTCACACTCCACACTTCTCACTTCTCACTGCTTCCTTCACACTCCAAACCTCACACTTCACACTTCACACTGCGCTCTTCGCACTCCAAACTTAAACTTCACACTCCACACTTCACACTTCACACTCCACACTTCACACTTCTCACTGCTTCCTTCACACTCCAAACCTCACACTTCACACTTCACACTGCGCTCTTCGCACTCCAAACTTAAACTTCACACTCCACACTTCACACTTCCACCACTTCACACTTCTCACTGCTTCCTTCACACTCCAAACCTCACACTTCACACTTCACACTGCGCTCTTCGCACTCCAAACTTAAACTTCACACTCCACACTCCACACTTCACACTCCACACTTCACACTTCTCACTGCTTCCTTAACACTCCACACTTCACACTGCACTCTTCGCACTCCAAACTTCAAACTTCACACTCCACACTTCACACTTCACACTTCACAGTCCACACTTCACACTTCTCACTTCTCACTGCTTCCTTCACACTCCAAACCTCACACTTCACACTTCGCACTGCGCTCTTCGCACTCCAAACTGAAACTTCACACTCCACACTCCACACTTCACACTCCACACTTCTCACTTCTCACTTCCCACTGCTTCCTGCACACTTCACACTTCACACTGCACTCTTCACGCCCCACACTTCACACTGCTCTAAACCTACGTGCAACCAAAAAACACTAGTGCCAAAATGGAGAAAATCTGCTAACAAATCCAGGTCGCAGCTTTCATGCAGCCACTCCAAGACGATTTCCGAGATCCAGCTGCAAAAGACAATAGTATTACGAATGCAGCCACAGCACGAAGCAACCTTGACGCAGCCATTACAATGCGATCTGCAGAGACTGAGTTGCAAAACACAATAGAACTACGCGCAACGGCGTCGGAAATTGTAGCTCCAAAACCGGATCTCGACGCCAGAGCGAAAAAAAGACGATTTTGAAGCACTTTCTAAAAGGATTTTTAGAAGGAAATTCACTAGCGCCAAAATGAAGAAAATCTGCTGACAAATCACTGTGGCAGCCTTCATGCAGCCACTCCAATACGATTTACGAAGTCCAGCTGCAAAAGACAATAGTATTACCAATGCAGCCACGGCACGAAGCAACCTTGACGCAACCATTTACACTGCGGGAACGATCCTACAGTTGCAAAGCACAATGGAATTCCATCGGCAACTCATCCACCAGCACCACTTGCAATCCCATTTACATTGCGGGAACGATCCTACAGTTGCAAATCACAATGGAATTCTGTCGACCACAAATGCACGAAACACAGGTGACACCCCATTTACAATGCGGAACCGATCCGAGAATGATCCGACCATGATCCGAGACCGATCCGACCACAGACGAGACCGTCTCGCAACCGTCGCACCGCAGAGGTAGATCATCGACGTTCGGGGACGCACTTTGTATGGAAAAACATAGGCTTTCGTGCATCTGCTATCTCTCAAAAACGCATTTCGTGCGAGACTTCCTTCAAAACTCCATCAGCAACTCCTCCACCAGCACCACTTGCAATCCCATTTACAGTGAGGGAACGATCCTAGAGTTGCAAATCACAATGGAATTCCATCGGAAACTCATCCACCAGCACTAACTCTTTCCCTCACTAACTCTTTCTTTGACTACGTCATATATCCTGACTAACTCTTTCTTTGGCTAACTCTTTCCCTCACTAACTCTTTCTTTGACTAACTCTTTCCCTCACTAACTATTTCTTTGACTAACTCTTTCCCTCACTAACTCTTTCTTTGACTAACTCTTTCCCTGACTAACTGTTTCTTTGCTAACTCTTTCTTTGACTAACTCTCTCCCGCACTAGCTCTTTCTTTGACTAACTCTTTCCCTCACTAACTATTTCTTTGACTAACTCTTTCCCGCACTAACTATTTCTTTGACTAACTCTTTCCCTCACTAATTCTTTCTTTGACTAACTCTTTCCCTGACTAACTGTTTCTTTGCTAACTCTTTCTTTGACTAACTCTTTCCCGCACTAACTCTTTCTTTGACTAACTCTTCTTTGACTAACTCTTTCTTTGACGAACTCTTTCCCCGACGAACTCTTTCTTTGCTAACTCTTTCTTTGACTAACTCTTTCCCTGACATTCTAAAAGTCCGTAACACGGAAGTTTCTCCCCCTAAACTTCCTTTGCTAATATATAATATTATATATATAGTACGTATATAGTACATCGTATTTAGTATATAGCATATCGTATATAGTATATAGTATATAGAAAAAGTATATTGTATTTAGTATATAATATATAGTATATAGTTTTTATATTATATATATTATATATAGTATATATGTTATATATTATATATAGTATATAGTTTATATTATATATTATATATATTGTATTTTTTATACGTATTATATATTATATATAGTATATATTATATAGTATATATTTTAAATATGTTTTAATATATAGTATATATTAAATATATAGTATATAACATATATATATATACGGTATATATTATATATATAGTATATTATATATAGTGTATTATATATATGTATAGTATATTTTATTTATAAACTATATATATACGGTATATATTGATAGTTTATATATATATAGTATTAGTATTTATATTCGCAGTATATATATATATAGAGTATGTAGTGTAAGTAGATAGTATAATATATATATATATGGTGTATTATTTGGTATGTAGTGTAAGTAGATAGTATGTAATATATATATACATATGTATATACATATTATGTACAAGATGTATTGTTTATGTATAATCCTTGGTGAATATATTTTTGCTCTTTCACCAAGTCGCAGCTCAGGGGCCGATGACCCGGAGACAGCAGCAGAGAAGATCTTGAGGAGCCACATGTTGGGTAGATGTGTTTTGTTTCTTGGGGGGGCAAGCGCACTATTTCCAAAAGTTGGGTTGTGAGCAACCATAGGATGTAACATGACTTAATCATGAAACGTGTTTTTTTTTCCTGGCAAAGTGGTTACGATGTGCGGGCCCCCAATTTGAGTAGCTAGAGAGTTCTATACAATTTTATACACCACAGTTTGCCCAGTTTTAAACCATAGATGGCCACTACAATTTGGCTTATATCAGGGCCAACTATGATTTATGGTAGATGATCGGCAGATGTATCTATTCGTTGGAAAGCAGTAACTCGTGGGGTTTTCACGTTGTGTCAATGGCATCTACTTCGCCATATTATCCACATGTAGTAAAGGTGCCACTGTCATATTGACAAGAAAAATATGAAAATCTGATTGATATGAAGGAAATAGTGGGCTATCAAAGGTTATACTCAGCAATTTATTGGTAGTTTGCATCCACGAAACCTTCACAGATAGCGGCTGAACCGAGACTAGGCCGGATGATGTGGTGCGCGTACCCGAGGTTCCAGGCGGGGTTGGTTTTGGGATGGTGCAATATTTTTGATGCATCAAGCTTCGAGAAACACCCGCCGGACATATTGGAAATCTTTGGAGACATGCAAAATTTCATAGAATTTTTGTACAATTTGAAACTGCATTGTTTGGGGTGGAGCTAGATACCGTTAGCTATGGCGATGGGTCGCCACGCTCAGTCACTGGGGATCTGGCAGCCACAAATTTTCTGAATCCAAGGGGATCTTATGGGACCAATGGCTAGGCATGGCTAGGCTATATGTTTTCCATTGTGAAACATGGCCGGGCCAGCCTTCTGGCCATCAGCTCTGGCTGGCTGGACAATTTCTTCAGTCCGATGATTTTCCGAGCCAAAGATGTTGGAATACCGAAGGGCATTAGTCAACTAATCAATATTCCATTAATAACCCCATTGAATGGGAATAGTGTGGAATATTGTGGGATATTGTGGAATATAAAGCATTATAATATACCATCAGTTATTCCATTAACCATATCAATTCATTATAAGCTTAACCACAATATTAATCAATATTAGTGAACTTTAACCATGAACCCCTACAATACTAACCACAATACTAACCATTATAATATTACCATATTATACAGTCATAGTATTAAACATATTAACCATGTATTAACCATACTAACCGCATAATCTCAACCATCATAATCTTGACTGACTGACTATTGATTATGTTGTAAAATGTTGTTCTCCGCAGGTCGCCTCCTGCGTGAGTTGATGGCCTTCATGTAGTCGCCTTCTTAGAAGGCGCAGCCTTTTTTTCCCCACCGGGCTGACGGGCTGAAGCTACCGCAAGTGATGTGCAATCTATGCGGATTGAGCAGGGAAAAATAGGATTACAGGATGATCAACCATGATCAACCATTGGATGGACCATTGGATGGACCATGGAATTTCGGGTTGCCGTTTTTTTTTTGACACATGCCGGCAAGGACTCAACATTCAACACTGACTTCACAAAAATTGGATTTCTCACTGGTGACTTCAAAGACGAGTAGCCCAATTTCCAGCAGCAATCATTTTCTGGCTTAAAACAGCTTCAGCTTTCAGTCAGTGATGCGTGGATTTTCCGGCGTGGTCATTGCTATTTTCGCTCCCTTTAGGGGACCGATGACGCGCGGCAGAGGAAACTCAGTGCTGGCAGCAACGCGTTGTTCGATGTGCACGGGTCAAAGATGTTGGACTGAAGAACTCACGTGTTGTTTGATAGGGGTGGTGTTTGAAAATATGGTGGTTGATCATCATCATCATCATCATCATCATTCATCATCATCATTCATCATCAACATCATCGTCATCACCACTCTTTAAAAAGGCTCTGTTGGGGGTAATTAAAGCCAAAAATCAGACACCCATAGTTTGTCGGAGGTGTTTGGTTGGTGATTCTGCGTCCTGACCATCGGACTTGTGGCGAACTCAAGTTTGGAACTGGCCTAAATATACCTAGATCGTGTGATTGTCTAGAAAGTATTTAGATTTTTTTTTGCACATGCACTTGGTGCAACGGATCTAGGATACCATGTTGTTTGGCCACTTTCAACATTGGAATTGGAAGTACGTGTCGCGATGGTTGGGATCACTTTGTTTATTCGCAGTAACCATTAAGTTCACCAAACCACCGTTAATTCTTATTTTTTTAAACTTGAAAAAAAACGCGAAAAATGCAAAAAAAATGGAAAAACCAAAAAGCAAATCAGCAAAATCCAAAAAACACAAAAGCAAAATAAAAGGGAAAAAAAAACGAAAAAAATGGGGAAAAAATGGACTTGTCCATTTGCATGTGTTTGTTTTTTTTTGCTTTTTCGATTTGCTTTTTTTTTGCTTTTTTGTTGCTTTTATTTTGCTTTTTTCCAGGTAAAAAGCAAAAAAAAGCAAAAAAAAGCAAATCGAAAAAACAAAAAAAAAGCAACAACAATGCAAATGGACAAGTCCATTTTTTCCCCATTTTTTCACCCTTTTTGACGTTCCTTTGTTTTCCCATTTATTTTGTTTCCTGTTTTTTTCGGTTTTGAAGTTTTGCTTTTTGATTTTCCATGTGTTTTCCTTTTTTTTGTTTTTTTTTGAAATTTAAAAAACATTAGAACTAAGGGGAGAGGTGGACATAAAGTAACCACTGAACCACCACTGGATCAGCTAGCAGCCACCAGCATTTTGGCTTACTGTGTTGCTGAACATGTCACTTCCAGGCCACAAGCAAACCCGGTACTGGGGATAACGGAAGAATATATATATATTTTTAATTATATATGTATATTATTCTTTACATATACATATACATTATCTAGGCCTGAATAATTCAGAGCAAACAAGACCAAGCAGTCTCTGTTGGGAGCTTGACCATAGGATGTGACAACGACTTCATCAATGGGTAGTGAATCAGCCCACCAAGACTCATGGTTTCGGTCAGGTGAAGTATAATCCAGCCAGATTCTATGGATTGAACCCCCAGCTCAATTTGGATAAATCATGATAAATCAATGATAAACCTTTATGTTCCTCTTATTTTATCCTGACGATGTTTAATGTCCGAGCGTCCAATGATTGGTAATCCCTTTATTGTGTGGCAAAATCGGTGAAACCATCCGAATCAGCCATGCCATGGCGCCCCGCCAGGCGAGGTTGTTTTTTGTTTTGTGTCTAGCGGTAACATGTGTGAATTGCAAAACACCGTCGAATCTACAGTTGTTTTTTCTAATGATATACACGAAACATGTGTATATGATAATCTATAATACTACATTATATTATATACATACATTATAAGGCTGGCTTATTGTGATTTGCATTTGTTGATGGACAAATGGTTCAATATTGTGCCCTGCTCCAAAATAGTTGCTGTATGTATTATATATATATATGTACATATGTAAGCATCTGCTTGTTTGCAGGGTAATGTAAAGTTGGCCATTGCAAGTGGGCTGATAATGTATAGCAATAAGCTACTTGTGGTCTTGTGGTTTTATTGTCATGATTGAACCATACCTATTCAAGTACAGGAGAACCATAGTGGTGTTGAATTGTCATCAGTGATCCAAGAACTATCAACACCATCACCCACCGTACGGGTGTTTTTTTATTGGTGAAGCAAGAACAGATTTTGTGATGGTATTGAATCAGATAGTACGTTGTTGTCATTTAAATAGAAGGGGATATAATACATAAATATAATTATATACTCATCATATAGCCATGGAAGTCTGTTCTCCATTATTGGGAGCCTAAGGTAGCACCCTGATGGTTCCGAGTGTCCTCTATCAGATGGAACCCTTGATGAAGATACTGTTAAAAATGTGGCATTTCCGAGCTGAAGACCATGATGCAGTTCATACCACATCCTCATGCTTTGAGCTTTCACACTAGCGATAAACAGCACAGAGAAAACATCACCCAAGTCCATCAGGCAGGAAGAGGACAGTTGTTAAGAGACAAGGTTGCCCCAAACCCCTTGGTTTTCGCCTCTTTAAACAGACTATCAACTTGCAAGATGTGTAAACCGTTGGTGCCCAAAACAGTGAACCACACATTGATTTAGTCGTCTAGTATGACCAACCATTTTAGTTTGTTGACTCCATTCCTCTTTCAATTCAACTAAGATGGACATTTTGAGATTTTCCTCAACAGCACAGGTTCCACCGCTTTGTAACATGTTTGCCATTGACCTCCATGGCACGACCTGCACCTTCTCCTTGCCTTCCCGTCCGCCCGCTCGCCGCGCCCCACGGAACGTGCCGGTGCCGGGCGCGCCAAGAGCGCGTGGCGCCGCGGGAAGAGAAGAGGGGCAATATGGGAAGTGCCTGGGTCCTAAGCTGATCAAATGGGGGGCTGGTGATCTTAGCTTGGTCGGTGAATCAACAAAATTGGGGATATAGTCGGATTGAATGGGATATATGATATATGTGGTGCCCCACAGTCAGCCAAGTTGGTTTACAACTCCAAGAACGGGGGTGATTATAAACCAACTTGTAGCTGGGGCGCGCCACGTTGTGGGTACGGCTCAAATATGGGATGCGATTGAACATTGATCATCCTATTGAAAAAATACTATATAATTGTAGGTTGCAGGTCAATGATATTGAGCTATACACAGTCTTGTTCGGATAGGCAATGTAAAAACGGTGAACATCAAACGCAAAATAAAACCCTGGCATATATGGCAGTGACCCTCCAAAATCACCTGCTTTCAGGTTGTTGAAGTTTTTTCACTGGTTGGTTCACGTTAATGGTTGGCGATCTGAAAAACAGGTGGCAACTTCTCACACTCTCCAGTGAATGGTCTGTAGAACCGTATTTGTATGATATCTATATATATATGTATATAAATCATAAAGAAACGGAACCAGATGAAGATGACCTCGAGTTGTTGGGACAACCATACTATGCCGTTCAGTAGAATACATTTTTTTCGTATCTTGCAGTACTGTTGATTTGACTGCCATCCACTGTACTGGCTGGTTTGTAGGAGTTCCCTTACCACAATGGGTCATAACAGTCCCCAAATAGCTAGGAAGAATAGCTATAGCTGGATCTAGGTAGTATGAACTCCCATATACAATCATCAACCAACCATCATTTGTCATCTACATCCCCACGTTTTATTGTTAAAACCTCTTATTGATTTTAATTAATTACATCGAATGATCTACGCTCTTGTTATTTAACGCAGCGAAGTTGGCAAAACACCCGTTTTGATAGGTAAATCATCATATTCTATCCTCGAACTAAATGGGCACTACTCCCCAGCGCATGTGAGGAGCGACTACCTCTATGGGGTCTATCCCGTGCTCTTGGCGCTCCGTGCGAAGAACCTTGGCGAACTCGGCTATCAGATTCCTGGTGCGGAAAATGGTGGGAAGAATCGACCAATTCACCATCAATTGACATGTAGAAAAGTGCTATTTATATTGCCATAAAATAATTGGTATATATATATATATTTGTATTTACATCTATTTATATATACTATATTGATCCATAATGTTGGTATGTGATGGTATTTGATTAGCCATGTTTGTGGGTCAACTGAGGGTCAAAGTATTGTACTAAAGTGGGTGAATTAAAGTTATACAATGTTATACACCACTCATTGGCAGATATGGGTATCGATTAAATATGTGCTTGGACCCAGAAATTTACCGCCTAGTGAAGGGACACATACTGTTCGAAGTATGTTTGAATTGTCTGCAACTGCAATCAACGGAACTTGAACACAAAGAACTTGTAACTGGGGTTGCCTAGAGCAAGTGAAAGTTGCAGAGTCTTGAAATCCCATCTTTGTCAAGCCTCTCTGGATGAACAAATTTGTTTCGAAGCCCTTCCACAATTAGGCAACATGCTGTAAATTCGGAGACGTTTCTTGTGCCCCAAAGTTGATTGGTGGCAACAAGGTGTCTCTGTCACTTTGTGTCCTAGCATGTCCAAAATGCAAAACAACACTACATGTGTCTGCCGCATCTAGGTAGAACTTGACAGCGGCAGCATGGACATATCGTCTTTTTTAACATCATTCTGGTGGGTTGTCCTGTCTACTCAAATGACTGTTTGCTGGGAATCTTGTGGGATATCCTGGTTTCCTATCAGACCTTAAACCTGTGAAGCGTTGGATTCGAATTGGGATTCCCCTCGCAGCCAGGAAGCGCAAATTCAAGCGACTCTGGGTACAGGGCACAGCAGGTCCCACGACATTGGAGAAGACCCTTGGTGTGGAGATCATGGAAATCTATGGATATACCGTGATGCTTATGGAACTGTCTTTGATGGATAAAGTATATATATATTAAATGGTAAAGTGTGTTTTTTTAAGATAACAATAGAAACACACGGGATAAAATTAAAGGATGACTGGTGATTACTGTATACCATGGTGCTTATTTAATTTATATTGAGTGATTTTGTCGGTCAGTGAAGACATGTTCTGATGATTTGTTCCCCGATCGATCCCCGCAGTGATCCCGGTGAACCTCCATCAGCCAACGGGATACGGCTGACCAGGTGCCAGAGAAATCCAATATGTTAAACATGAGATTGCCAAGGGGGGATAGCCCTAACTTACTAACAGTTCCGGATTTGGCTAAGAAAGATAGGGATGCTATGGTGTACTCTCAACAAACTTGGGACATTGAACAGCCACAATTTAGACTTGCTCCCCGGCTCAGACAACGGCAGTTGGATCTATAAATGACCTCTTCAAAAAAGGCATCAACGGCCATTGACACAGCATAGAAATGGTTCAAGAATAATGTGTAAAGTTTATAGTCCAAGTGCCTTTGGTTCGAATAACATGTTTAAACATGTATGTATAAACACCCAGGAACTGTTCAATATATATAAACACCCAATATATATTTGTTTCTTTGCTTGGAACTTGTGGAGAGCAAGTAATGTGTTGACGATATAGTTGCCAAAATGGCTATGCCATTTTGGCTCAAGCTGTCCCCCTGTGATCCAAACACTCGAAAAACGTTCCGATCCTCCTTTTTGCCTATGGCGTCTTCAAGTCCAGTGGCAAGTGAGACGGGCACTGTGGGTTCCTTCTCTCTGATTGGAACGGAAATGGACACAGGGAGTGACTACATGTTACTCAGTCAGCACAACGGAAACCGAGGCTGCGCCGGCCAAGGTTGTGACAGATTTTGAGTGTGATCCCAACCTCACAAAGGAGACCCTTGCTGCGCAGCTCCAAGAAATGGAGAAGGTGATGGCGCACCTGGGGTTGGACCCGAAGCAGGAGACGGGTGTGGCAGCTTCTGGCGCCAAGCCTCCTTCTGGCTTCGTCCAGGCTGCTTCATCAGCCAGGAGGTCGACTCTGCAGACTTTGGAGAAGGAGACTTTGACGATCCACATGGACCAGAACACTGACACTTTCACCATTGAAGGTTGGGAATCCCTGGTCCCGGCCCTGCCGAGCTCTGCCACCAAGTATCTCAGAGACATCACTCATGGGGAACTTCGCTCTCTTTTGGATGCATTCCGCAGCTCTTCGTGGACGGCATCCTTGATTGCCAAGATCGCGGAGGTGTACTACATCTCGAAGCGAGAGGCCGCCCACACGCAGATGCTGAAGATTCGGCACACTACGCAGCGTGGTGGCTCCATGTCGAATTTGAAAGAGGAGGACCCCGGGACCTCTCCGCAGTTAGTTTGTTCTGACTGCAGTGCACCATGGGGACAGTTTTCAAAATGCCTTCTCTGCCAAGGTTCTTCTCCAGTTGATCTGTCGGTGACACCCCTGTCGGTGATTGAGGTGGAAGGCCAATCCTGGCAGCTAAGGATTACTGAGGCCGGACCGACTTGGGTCCCTTCCGACACACAAGGGCTGCTTGGTGGAAGTTGGAGATTCCACCAAGCCAGCAGCCTTAGTGACCTTAGTGTCGGAAGGGGCCCAAGTCGGTCCGGCCTCAGTAATCCTTAGCTGCCAGGATTGGCCTTCCACCTCAATCACCGACAGGGGTGTCACCGACAGATCAACTGGAGAAGAACCTTGGCAGAGAAGGCATACCGACCATTATGCCACCTAAGGTCCTTTGGAGCCAGGTGGTTGCGGCTGACTTTCTGGTGTACAGTGGTGTTTTCCCACCTACAACCCTGTTTTTCCTTCATTACTGCGCGAGCTGAACGCTCCGGCGGGTTGGGTGGTTTTTGACGTGTGACACCACCACTGCATTTCAGAGTTTCTGTGAAACCATTTTGTGATAGATGCGATTGGCATCTGACAGAAACACAGCCGCAAAGCCAACTGCATAGCAAAAGGTGCAGACGTACTGATGCAGTTGCTTTGTTTCCGTTTCTGTCATTTTCAATTCTATTCGGACACACATATATATATATATATATTTATATATGTATACATATATCAGATTTGCCAATGGTTCAAAAGAACACCCACAAATTTCATGGTTGTCCAAAGCTCTGAAGATGTTGCTTCACGCTTTAGCCATCCCACCATAGGCCATCTAGTGTTAATTCTATCCCATATATGTTCATAAGATCCTATTGTTTCCCATTGTATCTCTGATCCCATTATTTCGAATTATATCCTAAATAAATAAATAAATAAATAAGTATATATATATATATATCAAGTTGCATGCTATTGCGTGTTATATATATATTATATATTAACATATTGTATACATATCATATACATACATTGCCATTGCCACCACTTTGAGCCATCACAGCTGAGGAAGGATACGGAGGTGCCAAGGGTGATTTCCCGTTGATGGGGAGATATCACCCACCAACGGGATCCCAGTAGTCTTTACCAATGGTAACTGGGGATATCCGGGATACAATGAATTTCCAACTTTGACATGTGTTTTTCTACCATTATTTTTGTGTACCTCATGTCTTGGGACAAAGCAGCGCCATAGGGTTAAAGGTAATTTTCGCTTTGCAGCTTAGCCACTGATCCTGGAAAATGGTCTCTCATGTTGTAAAATGATGGCTAGTTGAATGACTATGACATCTCATGGTCATTTGGGAAAGTAGGCTTCAGTATTTTTGTTTTTTTTCACAAGGATCTATCATGGTCCTTCCGACTGAATGCTATATCCCCAATCGGCGACTTTGGTGAAGCACAGCGAACTCACCACGACATCACTGGAAGTATTGATTAGTATATTTGGTAAGGAAATTGCCAACATAGTATTGAAAGATGGTTCATCGGAAAACCACCCCCTTGCGTCTCATCGTTTAAAAGTCTCAACGTTCTCGATTAGTTGATGGCAATAAACTGAAGGCCCATCCCAAATTCTTGGGCAAACTGAAGGGAAGGTAATCCAACGTATGCCTAGTTTAATACATGTCTTGATGTTGAAATCATTCTGTCTTGATGTTGTTTGAGTTTTTTTGATGGGAATTATCATCCAGTTGTTTGATGGTTCCATTTGTTATGCATTTTGTTGATGGTAAAATCGTTTTTTTGATGCCACGCCCACCACTTTTGACGCTTGTACTACCCACCATTTGAATTTGCATGATCATTGTCTATATTTCTGTTCCCATGAATACATCCCTGACAATGTTCTACACTACCATTCAGATGATCAGGTTCGCCATGCATTCCAGATCTTGATGTCAAGTAGTTGATCGTCGTTAAATTGCCATAGTTGATGACAAGAATAAGAATTCAACCAACAAGATCAGTAAGAATGTGCGTTTAACCATCAAAACCCATCAAACAATTAGTTATTTCAAAAAAAAACATTTCAGAGATCTGATTTCCCAAATCATTGATATTATTACAGTATAATTAGATATAAGTATCCCAAACTATACATCAGGTTGGTTGCAAATACTTTTTTTTCCGCCATAGGATGATCTCACTGGTCTTTTGCGCCCTAGGCGCGTTCTGAAATCCTCCGCCGCAGCCGCGAGTTGGGTGTGCCCACGGTGACGTGCCGTGGCAGAACTGAAGAGAGTGATATGTAGATACTGGGAGTCAGTTGACCTTTGGGGATAGTTGCAGATTTATAAATCATACAGGAATCATACAGCTGCTAATACAGTTAAAAATTGGACTTGGACTTAGATTTATGTAGGTCCACAATACAGATAGATTGATAGACAAATAGGAAGATAGATAGATCTATCAGGTGAATATACTCTGAAAAGTCATATGAAACAGCATTCCCCAAAAGACTGAAAGATGTTATTCATCGTGGAAATGACAGATCACAGAGGTGTATCACATACTCTTAATCAATCGCCGTTGAAATAAGTGAACACAAGACCTATAGTATGTATATAATAGATCTATCTGTCTAGGACAAAAAATGATGGCACCTAGAAATTGTCAGTAATGATGCGGACGGAAACATGTCTTTATTTATTGTTTTTTGTTCACGGGGTTGCTACCTACAAAAGAGGTTCTGAGACACCAAAGGAGCATTGAGACCGGTATGGGGTTATACCAAACAAGGCCCAAATTGGGCAGATTAACATCTAAAAATATACTGTAGTCTTGCTTGACCCACAAAGCATCTCTATGTCTAAAGATATCTCCTCCTCGCCATCGCTTGACAAACATGTTTGGGATGAATTGTACCGACCAGCGAGTCAAGAAACCAGTCAAGATATGGCACATGATGGGCATCCATGATAGATGAAACGGTCCTTCAAGTCACTGAAACATCAATAGGTATGTACATGTAATCATGAATAGTGTATACGCACTCACATATGATAGGTTCATATATATATATATATATTTATATATATATATACATGTATATATACATATTTATATTACATTATATTACACTATACTATTTTTATATTTTATTTATTATATTATATTACATTATATTATTTTATTTTATATTATTTTATATTATCCAGGACCTTCCAACGTAGCACTTTTTTTGCCCCTATGGTCATTCGATACAGAAATCGACAACTCGATACACTTTTTCCATTTTGTAGCGCAAATTTCTGATCCGAGCAATTTTCCTGAGTTCGACCTACTTTCTCTTGGCTACCCGAGCTCGACTGAAAACAGGAATTGTTTGCTTTGATGCGACACTAGTTCGAGCGAAAATTTGCGCAAAAAAGCCGCAAATATCCGCAACAAAGTGCAAAAAGCCGCAAATTCAAAAACTGTAACAAATCCAACTGACAATGGGGAAGGAATGAACCCCCTCGAGCATTTTTTTCTGCAAAGAGCAGTTTTTTGCAAACGAGCGAAAATCCACAGCACGAGCAAAATAAAATCGATACACAAATAAATGTATCATTGGGGGGTCTTGGATATTATATTCTGTTATATTATATTACATTACATTATAATATATTATATCATATGATATTATATTATACGTTATTTTATTATATGTTATTTTATTATATACATATATATGTATTCTATACTTACAAATGTGTATATATATATATGTATGCATACATATGTAAATATCTTTATATATATATATATAGATATACATATATTTATATATTTATAAAGACATACTCTTGTAACCTTGTAACCATGTGTGTCTTGTAGGAAACACAGGCTTTAATCAGCAAGCCTTGTTTCATCGTGATATTGGTGTTTTGCAAAGTTTCGATCCGTCGAGGCAAATTCAGCGACAATCAATCCTCGACTACTACTCGGACCAAAGACCCCATCAAGGTGCTGCTCAGGAAATCATCTTCGGAACTTCCGGATTTGTAGATTTCAATCCCTTCCCAATGTCATTTTTTTTCTTGGAACTCTGGTTTAGCAGCGGTTACATGCATTTCGGTGTCCTTCTTGCGGGATATGCTGTTAGGATATATCCGGAGGATGGGAAGTTCCAAAATTGAAAACGTGCTTGAACTAATGTTGAATACGCCCCCAATGTTTAAACACCCTGCAGAAACTGTGGTTAAGAAAGGGATGAACCCACATATTTGGGACCATGGGATGATGGTCTTATCATTACGGATTCATGGTCTTACAGGCTGTGGTCTGGAGCCACGCCGCCAGCTTCCAAACAGCGGCACACAAAGGGTCTCGGGCGTTATTGAATGCCAGTGCCGGACGTTACTTTCTGGTCAATTATCCTCTATCTGGATTATTTGATGAGTTAAGACCCCCAAGATGTGATACCCGCAACCCTGGTCAATGCTGAGCAGAGATCACCCAGTGACAACCTAAGGGGGGTACCAAAGTGGGATTCACACAATAACTTTCAATAGTTTGTGTTTATAATTGGTTTTCGACACCCAAACTTGGAATGTCATTGGTACATTATGGCTGGTTGATGATTGGTTGGTTATTCAGCATCAAACTACCTGTTCAATTAGGGAATTGCGACGTAACCATACCAGTGACCGAACCTACCCGTATTATAGGGGATGGGATTTGGGTATGTTTCAGCTCTGCAAATGTTATGACCAAGAATGCAAATGCAACACAGGAACGCTTGGATGCACATCTCACTCATATAGGAAATGCATTTCGCGACTGATAGGTAATATCTAGATATAGGTAGTAACAAACATGTATATATAGTGGTATATATATATATATACATATTATTGTTATATACTGAATGTGTAAATGAGTTCAGTTTCACATCATTGATTTGGTACCACGGCAGGTTTGGTGCTAAAGTGCAGCCCTGCCTATGTCCGGAAGATCGAGGACCCAGTGCTGTGCTCCTGAAGCATGGGGATTTAACCAGCAACAAATAGGATATCATGTAGATATGATGGTGATATCCATAACCAACGATGTGATTTTGGGATGTGTCGGAACATGGGCTTATACCTTCCAGTCAGACGGCTGTTTCAATGGGGAGAGTGATGATCAACCAGTGGATTTGGGGCGAACCATATTTTCAGACAAACCCATAGGATGATGTTTTTCTTTTAAACACATCCCACCACATTCCATTTGCGTTTTGATTGTCAAAAAAATCAAGGTGTTATTCACGATCAATATAGAATGCATAAGTCCTCTATTTCCCCAAACAGCGTGTCCACACTGAGGGGTTCTTACGGTAGGAGTGAAGGCCGGTGCTTGATCAGGGTGCTCACTCTGGGCGCTGGCATTTTCCCCTTAAATTTCCGTATAAAGTGGCTCTTGTAAAATCTTGACATGTGTTTCGACTGCGCAGGCTCGCACAAAGTGTGTGTCTGCGTTCCGGGCTCAATCTGGGCGCGGCATTTTTCCTGTAAATTTCCATAAAATGTGGCTCTTCTGATGTCTCGTGTGAAATGTTGATGTGCATTTCGACTGCGCAGGCTCGCACAAAATGTGTGTCCGCGTTCTGGGCTTATTCTGGGGCGTGGCACATTTTTCCTGTAGATTTCTGTATAAAGTGGCTCTTGTGACATGTTGAAGTGCATTTCGACTGCGCAGGCTCGCACAAAGTGTGTCATCATCATCATCACCACCATCATCATCATCGCCATCAACATTGTTATCTTCTTCTTCATCATCATGATCATTAAGTTATCATTATCATGATCACCACCATCATTATCAACATCTTTTTCATGATCATTATCATCATCACCGTCATCGTCATCGTCATCATCATCATCATCATCATCATCATCATCACCATCATCATCCTCACCACCACCATCACCATCACCATTTTCATCCTCACCATCATCATTGTCGTCATCATCATCATCATCGTCATCCTCATCATCATCATCATCACCATCATCATAAACATTATCATACACTATCTCCCCACTCCCCCCACACTGTTTTGGGTCTCTTGCCGGGATAATTTTCGGAGACCGCTATGGAGAGGCACTAGAATCTGGGCAGCCCTTGCTTAGATATGTCACATGTCTGATGGGGGCAATTCGGCTGATGGGGGCAATGATCATGTGGAAATAGTGAAAGTATTGGTGGATCAGTGGCAACACATGTAGAAATGTGGTGCATCGCCAAGAATCATCTGAGTAAATGATAATGAACAAACACATACATACACCATAGATGTAAACATATAAATATAAATATTAAAAAAAACATATGTATGCATGTATTGTATGTAGGGATCATCAAAAAAGCCAATCCTGGCAACCATTCGCAGGTATTTGCAGTTTAGGAATGAATCTGCGCCAGGAATCTGCAGTGTGGTTTCCACATGGGCTTCCACATGGGCTGAATACCAGTGGGACCATTCAATGCCTTAGATGGAAGCCCCTACTAGTTAGAGAAGATATCTCCTCATCTGCAGAAAAGGATGGAAAAGGTCACTGTTAGTGGATGAAGCCTATGTCCAAGCCATACCACTTTCCGTTGGCAGAACAAATATGGCTGGGAAGAAAAGCAGCAAGCTCAGAAAGACATGAAATGGCAATGGTTGGCGATTTCAGCAGTTGGGTTATGAGCCCACGTGACGAAGGGTGGCACAACCACCAAACAGATACGACACACTGCACCACACTACTTAGACACATTTCACTACATTCCATGTGTTGCATTCGTTGTATACAAAAGAAACATGGCATACCACATAATTACACTGCATGCACCGAATACATCTATGCATGCACCACGGCAATACTTTAAAGGCTGCAGTGCGCTGCAGCGGCCCTTCTTCCAGAAAGAACCTGTCTTGCTTCCATGTCTGTACTCTCTGCATCGTTGACGCAGCTTAATGACAGAAAGGTGAGCTGCAAATCGGACCACATGGTACAATGATGGGGCACTCACGGCAGTTGCACCATGTCGCACTTGTTTCTCACTTGTTTCTCACTTGGGCTGTTACCCTTGTGAGGGATGCCGGCTAGTTGTGGCAATGGCCGATTTGGGGCTAGCTGTCGTGCCGGCTTGCCGCTGCCGGGGGCTCTAGTGGGCGGTGGAAAAGCCCCAACGATGAATGGATGGCTTAACGTAACCCTGATTAGTTCGTCAAACAGCCACCTGGGCGCCTGGATCACTGATGTTGGCACCTAGGTTGCCAAACGCTGACCCTTGCAAATTTTCATCAGAGTTGAGGGAATGACCTTTCATTTCATTGTGAGCAAAGCCGTTTGTAAGCTTTGGTCCGCTTCCCAACGAAACGTCAGCCGGTGGTCCTGCATGTGATGCACGCAAGGGCTGCGCAAGTTCCACCCCCATTTGCAGTCACGGGGTTGAGCATGCGTTGTCCGGGGTGCAAGCGGTCAGTGACGGGAAGGGAAATCTTATGCCAGCCTCAAGAGAGTGTAACCCATTGAAATCCACCACCTAGTCTTGCGCCATTTGTGGTCATTCACAAGCATTTCCATTCCACATGTTTGCTTTGCAAAACGCCTCCTTGGAATTTTGTTTTGCAAAATACGTGGTTTGTGCTAAGTAAAATTCACGAGTTTCTGGTGCTCGTAACGTGTGTACATGTTGGTTACGTCACATATTTGTGCTGTAACCTTCTCAACGTTTCAAATTTGTTTTATCGCGCGGGTATGTTCGAAAATACGGTGCGTCTTTGAAATTAGAAGCAGAATGCCAGTTTGATCGGACCAATCATGATTCACAAATCAATTTACGCGTGCCGTATTTTCAAACAAACCAATTTTGTTGGTGAATAATCGCAGTCGCGACATGTGACGGCAGATGGATCATACGACAGGATCTGCCAAGCCCTAGAAGGGGCGCCATATGGCTTGCTTTGGAGGCTTGGGAAGCGTACAAACATTCAAACAATGGATGATCTACAGTAAACAGTTTGTGTGTCTAGACTCATTCAAACCACATTTGACCCATTTGTTTGCATGCACAAAAAAATGACACAGGACCTGTGGAAGCGTCGGAAGAGGTGATCAAAATCGGTTTGTAAGTGATTTTGATGTCCAATTTCGATCCTAGGCCAAATTGAATTTGGGCATTCAGCATGGGAGTCATTGTGTTTTTTGATCGAACAAAAATGGACATTAGCAATCGTCTAAACTGGGATGCCACCCTACAAAACCGGGTACTCGGCCATCACAAAATTTGGCACGTGCACGGTATTTGTGTGTTAAAACATGTATTTATTTGTTAAAGCTTAACAATTGAATATAGATGTTTTTTGACAGGATATTTGAAATTAGCACAGTGATCTAGTTCGGTGTCATTGGCACCGAGTTCGACAACAAGAAAAGTAAGCAACTATGGCAGGCCAATCTCAGTTTAATGCACCTTTGTCATGCCCACAACCTAACATTTGATCGATGGTGGTTTTTTGGGCGTGCAAAGATGCAGAAGGGTTTCCAAACACAAAGTTATCATGTGTTGAGACAAATATGTATGAGGAAGAACTGCAACAGTGTGGCCTGCGGATCAAACTATCCTGAGAGGCGGTGCATTTGTTTTATATTCTGATTACTGTTGTGCAAACTTGAGCACTACTGATTGGTTCTGGTTCACACACTGTTGTGGTGCCCACGCACCGTTTTTTTGAAATACAGTGACATAATGAGAGATAATTGCTGCTACGCGAAAAAATCGGAACCAGATGCAACATTGAAAGGGTCTTCCGTGGAAACATATTGTTCGGAGCAAGCCATTTGAATTATTCATTGATGCAATGTTCAATATATTATGGAAACATGGTGGCAGCCTATTGTTTCTCAATGTGATTGTCCTAATTTTTGATCAGAAATATTATGGTTGTCACATTATAAGATGACAAATACAGTGCATAATTATTTGTCAGTTGACTGTCAATATTTTCGAGGAGCCGAACGCATGTTGACCGGATTTTGTTTGCTTTCAGGTTTTTCAGGTCCCAGCACATCCCATCGATTTCAGACGGTTTTCTTTGTTCCAAACATCACTGAAGTAGCGGCACTTCGTCACAAGCGAATCACCCCTTCGCAACAACAATGGCGCCAGGGGATTACGGACCACATGAATTTGGGTTCTTTGTTGAGATCTGCCGCATTTTTTGGTGTTGAAGGTGGGCCAAAAGGGTCGCATGAAGGGTGGCGTGGTGGTTTGTCACATGGTTTACAATGCTAGCAAGCATGCTATTAATGGCGCATATGGACTCTATGGACGCACCAATTTGAATAGCATGTGTGTTGTTTTCCTTCAGTAATTGTCAGATTGGGAGGATTTGCCCATGCGGAAGACTTGACGCAGGAGGAAGGACTGTGTTTCCATGATTGTTGCTGGCTCATGAGATAATTTTATTTCTTCCAATACAGATTCACGTCTCCAAAAGAGCCAAGGAGGAATCAACCATACATCATATTCAGTTCCTATCCACACTGGATGGATTGTCATGACTGAAAACATGATCGAAGTTATTCCCTGTACTTTCTGCGTTGATGGCCTTTGCCTTTTGATTTTGTTCGTTCGTGGGAATTTCCAACTGTTCACCTTGCAGCGGTGCCAGGTGTGATCTGCGAGAGGGGCTGTGCAAAGTATACGCCCGTAGCAGCAAAAGCCTCTGCACCTTGGTGCAGATTGTGTAGCTTCATCGTTGTGATAGACGGCCATGGATCATCATGGATCAATATCCCTTATACCTCATTATGCATCATTATATATCATTATACCATATTTTGGGGTGATGAACAGCCACGGATCCAAGCTATTTTGGTGTGAAATCCAGGGTGCCAGGTAGAATGATCCATTCGCAGATGTTGGGACAGTTTACATGAACTTCATTGTTTCTTAAGGCCACAAACTTTCCAATACAAAGATTTCCTCCAGATTCCCTTTAACCAGCTCTGGGAGGGATAGATTTGGTAAGTGCAAGACATACACATTTGGATTTGAGGAGTCAATTTGAGATTTAACCAATAACATGGGGATGCAAGCCTCCAACATGGGGATGTTACAAGCAACAGCGACAACTTTAACATGAAGCTTCAACAAATAAAACATGTGTAGGCCGATTTCTGGGTCCCATGCTGAATCTCAGGAATAGCTTTGCTATATATGACAGCCAATTGTAAAGCCGTTTGTCGAGACCCCCAATGGAATTTACATGTGCGCCATATGGGGGATATGGAGGTATTTATCCCATGTCAGGATGGTGGTTTGCCATGGGTTGAACAGCCACAGGCCATACGGTTAGGCCATGGCTACCTCCAAGTCCTGAGGCCGGTGCAGGTGAGATGATTTCCCTGTTCCAAGTGAGAAAGATGCAAAGCCTACTGCCCAGGCGGTGATTTCTGGAGAAGTGGCAGGATCTGGGTATGTTGTTCTGCCCTAAAGAATTGGTGCTTGCGTTTGGTTCAAATCTCCTCTTGAAATATCTTCCAATACACATCTACATCAATGTGTAATTATATTTGTTTGTGTATCTACAACATTCTAGAACACCATATCCCATTTTGCACGATTACTTTGTTTGAGGGTTGGCTCCTTTTCGGTTGATGGAGGTGTGTAACATCATTGGCGTGATAGGAAGTATACACATGTTAACGGTACTTGGAGAGTTTCTAGGGTGGTTGTCAGAGTATTGCCACAACTTCGTGGCATCAGTAGGAGCCATACAGTCTCGGTATTTGTGCAAATCGGGTACCGAAAAAGGTATGGTCTACTACATTCACCTTTCAGAAACACAATCAGATCTGTTTGGCAGTGTCTTAGATTCGGATCCACACCCATTCACAGACTGACCATGCTGGCGGGCTCAATGCATAGGACATGGACATCAATTGATCAACAGGAACTGGAACCAGCCATTCATCAGGTCAGGTCATGGTCTCAACGATCGAAGTAGCCAGGCCATTAAAAGTTGTGAAGTCCCAGTTGTTTTTTATCTAAGGTATATGGTGCCCCCCAGTTGCCTTTGTTAGTTGACAAGCCCCATGAATTTTAGACATGTGTGCCACCCCCAGTTATTGTTGTGATTTTTTCCAGAACTTATGACCCAAATCTGCCGCAATCCCTAGATTCACTATTCGGTTTCATCCAACAATAGCATGCCCCTCAAATTCTGTTGATCATTAGGTTCCCTTTGGAAATTGCCATTTTTGATTGTAGAACCACCCCCGAAGAGGTTTCAGTTTCGGACTTTTCTGGCGCCAGGGCCCGAGCGCAGGGCTGGTGTGTGTTGGGAGCTGCATTGCCAGATGCAGAGACACTTGGAGAAGGGTCGGGGAGGCTGGGTCTGAATTTCGCTTCAACGTACATGGTACCTTGGGAAACTTCAAAATTAAAGGAACGCCAAGCAGCAAAGAGACCAGTGTTCTTGTTCGTCTTGGGCTGCAAGCTGGATGCTGCATGGACATGTGGTGCAGTCACATCGACACATGGCAAGATGTTCAAGGTGTTTTGAAGTGCACGTGGGAACGCCAAGCATGTGTGAAATGCCATGCAGCAAGCTGCCCTGGAGAAATGTGATTCAACATTTTTATACAGGAAATCCCTAAAACATAATGAATAACACGAAACGATGCGATGTTCGATGTTGCTGTTTCTTTACATGTTTCCTTTACTTTACATGAGGCTACCTTCTTGGAAATCAGAAGCATTGCTATTTATTGTATGATTTGGAATTTGCATACCACTTTAAATTCCAAGGGAAATTGTGCGACAATTGAACCTTTCCCAACCCTTGACTTGCCATCCCACCAAGTGCCATAGACCCTGAGAATCACTCTCTTCTTAATGGAAATTACAGGACTATATGCTGTATATTATATATATAGTTGTTTGTTTAATGATATTAACGATCACGCATAACAATATGCTTTACATAACATATAACAACACCAATAAAAAATAGTCGAAGGAAGTTTAGAAGTCAAACTTCCGACAATATGGACAGATGAAAAGCAGACATGGGAAGAGTCAGAGAGAAGAGAAGAGTAGAAGAGAGAAGATCAGAGAAGAGAAAGAGTCAGAAGAAAGAAGATGCAGATGTGCGAAAAGGTAGGAAAGTCGCGAAGCACTGTGTTTTTCTAATGATTTTTGGCTCCGGAGGGTCGAAAAGTAGGCTCGCTAAAGCACCGGGTGCAGAGCCATCTGGCCAGATGAGAGATGAAAAATTGCACGCCGTTGTGGCGCGAAGCACATGTCGAAGTCAAAATGTACAAAGCACACCGTTCTCGGACCACTTTTGGAAGGACATCTCAAAAAAAGTGCACGCCGTTGTGGCGCAAAGCACATTTGCAAGTGAAAAAGCTAACAGCACCTCACGTTCGGACCACTTTGTTGAGATGTCGCAAAAGTGCACGCCGCTGTGGTGCGAAGAACGTTTCGAAGTCAAAATGCACAAAACACACCAGGTTCGGACCACTCTTGGAATTTGATAGACAGGTAGACAGACAGACAGACAGACAGATAGAGAGATAGAGAGATAGAGAGATAGATAGAGAGAGAGATAGATAGATAGATAGATAGGTAATTAGAAGAGAGAGAGAGAGATAGACATAGATAGATGGATAGATAGATAGATAGATCGATAGAAAGAAAGATAGATAGATAGATAGACGGATAGATAGATAGATAGATAGATAGATAGATAGATAGATAGATAGATAGATAGAGAGAGAGAGATAGATGGATAGATAAATAGATAGGTGGGTAGGTAGGTAGGTAGGTAGTGAGAGAAAGAGACAGAAAGAGAGAGAAAGAAAACAGACCTCAACGACCTGTCGGTCCATCAGTGGGCTCGCTCTGCCATCCGCGATTTACAACAACCAAGCTCTTCTATTGGTTTCCTATTTTTGAAACTTCCGCCACCGCCTTGTGCGGTACTACTGGTACTAACAATAATTAATCATGACATGTGATAATTCCCAACACTATTAGTTTCACCGTTCTGGACTCATCGCTCCGAGGAGTCAGGTTGCTTTCAGTCCCTTGGACGACTTCGTCGCTGAATGCAACGATGACCACGCGGAGCTGGGGAGTGGAGAAGCAACCCTGGATGGTTTCTGCTGTTTAACATGTTGTTAACATGTTGTTTACATGTTGTTAAGAACATACTATAATATGTGTACAACACCTAGATGGTTACAGTTGTTTTATAACAACATATCACTCATTTGAGATGTTATAACAATTAAATACACCTAGTTAATGATAGCTACACTTGTTTTAGACGTTTCTGGCCGGGTGTTGTGATAACAGTTAAATTTGGAATTCCGATCAACCAAACAGATCCAAGTGTGGAATCCCCGATGGGTCTGGCAGTCATTGTAGAAATTTAAACCCGAGAGACCTGGAATTTACAGTAATGCCTGAGTGATGTTTGCGTCCTGTGACAATCTATCTCGTCTCCCTGCTTCAAGTCATCCTGGTTGCTAGTGCCATAGGAACCCGAGGTGAGTATCCCAAGTATCTCGCAAGGATCTTACTCTGGTTTTGCTTCCATTGCGCTTTCTAAGTCCCCATTGTTTCCATGCTTATGGTCAGTCATGTATTTTTCTCCCTATTTATCATCCATTTATCCCAAACATTCCCTTTCCTCCTGGCATAGCTAGGCAAATGGGGTTTTCTTCCAAAAAAAACATGCGTTTCAATACCGAAAAAACCTAATGACTTGGATGATTTGGGTACCCCAGCCATTAGGAAACCTCCATATCTAGGATCCATATTTTTAGATCCAGCTCCAGCATGGCCCCACGCTGCAAGGAGGCTGTGGTACTGCTCCTGGGCCCCGAAGGGCCGGGACTCCGGGCAGAGCTGAAGGAGTGTTGCGATCGGTGGGACGCACCCAGCGGTGGAAGCTGCTGGGAGCTGATAATGGGGGATTTCACCGTGATTTAAGCAACAAAAACATGGGATTGTAATGGGAGAATATTGGAATAACCCTTCACCCTAATATTAAACGCCCCCCCCCTCCCCCCAAATAATAGAACCTAGGAGTAGTTTTTATTATTAGTGGGTATTTAATATTCGGGGGATAAACTGCCCCTATTTAATATCAAACTTAAAACCTTAATTGAAAAAAACTAAACGTTTTGGTTTTCGATTTCAAAATCCATTAAATTCCTTTTTAAAATTTATTTAAATGTTTGCCAAAAATTGGATTTGGAAGCTTTCCCGTAATATTAAATTTATGATTATTATTCATGCAAAACCTTATTAAAAAAAAAAAACATTGTTTTTCGATTTTAACAATCGGACCCTAATAAAAAGACACCCCGGGGTTAACTAGTTTTATTTGTTCAGCCGGTAGGACCTTCAAACGAACCTTGATTGTTAAATTCTTTTCTAAAGGGGATCAATTAAAAGTCAAATTGACCAATCTGAAATTTCCCAAAACAAATAATTAGTCTGGGTAGTCCTTATTACTTCGGGGAGTTTCAGTAATAGGGAGAAGGGATTATATGACATGGCCAACAGTTTTTTTGATGATGATGATGATGAGGGGGAGGAGGAGGAGGAGGACGACAGGGAAATATCAAGATGTCCTTGGTTGTTTTTTGGGTTACTATAACCCCCAAATGAACAGTTTCAATCACCTTGGCATTGGTTGATGATTTAAAAGAGGCTTGTGCTGCCATTGATATATGAGGGAGCATCGGAGATGCAAGCGACATCGAGCAGGGCAGCGCTAGGTTCTGACGGCCGTTATGTGCATACAAGCGCAAAGCCCACGGCGTGGGCCGATTAGATGCAGGGTCAGGGAGAGCATAGCAATGAAGGGCACCGCCGGAGGCGTCTTTGGAACTCCCTGGGGCATGTGACCTGGCATTTGCCTTCAATCACTATTTGCAATCACTTTGCAATCCCTTTTTGTCCAGATCTTGCACGACTAGGTTGCGGGCCATACTGCAGAGTTATCAGCCCATATCAACCCCAACAACAAGACATTATGAGCTACTGTTGTTAGTTACCCTTAGACGAGTTGCCCGTTTGTAAGCCCACCCAGCTAAAGGTACATTCCCTTTCCAATCCAACAGGTAGCCTTAGGGCCTAGTGAAATTCACACCAACACCATTATGATATAAATCAATGATCAATATTATCAATCAATGTAATCTCGGTTAAACAACTAGTTGAACCCCATTGTCTTTGGTGACAGATTCGCCTTTTTGGTTTATTTAAGGCTTCCTTTCTTAGATCTTCCCCAGGTTGGTGGGCATCAGTCGCGTGGGCGACAGTGGTGATGGCTTGGACTCGCTGAATGCCGGGGTGGCCGCAGGAGATGTTGGGGCAGCAGTGCTGGTTGGGATGGATGAATTATGGACGAGGATGGTGGATTTGGGGGATGAAGGTGGATTCAGGAGATAAAACAAATGATTATGAAGGTTTGGAAGCAAAAATTCGGGATCCACCTAACTTTTACAGCGGGGATCATGGCAAATCCAACACGGGATAACACGGGTGAGTGGATTTTGGGCAAAAACAGGAGAATTTAAACAGGAAAACTTGTCGTTGCACCAAGAAGAAGTGAGGGTTTGAGCAGATCAAGATGAGGAACTGACAGCAACAATGGGGTACACCACCTGATGAAGGGTGTTGTTTTTTTCAACTTTGATGGGGATATAGGATATTTACCCAGCTCATAAAAATTGATAAACTAACCTTCTATTTTACGCCACGAGGACCTGGTTACCACGAGCAGCATTATCGCGGTTCATTTGGGAACAGCTCAAGATAATTTAACCGAATAATTGGAATTGTTCATCCCTTTGTACTACATTGTTTTTACACATAACCACATTGACATTGATATCCAGACAAAAAAAGTAGTTAATGTATTTTGGTCAGAATGTATTTTGGTCATCATTTTGACAGCTACGTCATCATTTTGTGGCTCTCAGTACACGAAAACGGTTTGTAGTTTCAATGTTTATGTTGCAGTATGTTGCATCATGTTTGTATGATGATCCCAGGTGACCCTCCCAGTATTTTGGAAGAAACATGTGCAGGGAAGCCACAAAGAATATATAGCAGCAAGCAGTAACAAGCCGATTAGTCAACTGAAAGAAGATAGAAGCATTTATGGGTAGGTGATGCTTGGAGGAGAGCATTTGAACCATTAACAATACCCTCTAGTGATTGGTTACTATAGGGAGTTATACTATACTACTACTTGGAGATTACTATAACCCCTTTACCATGGGGATACCTATCAACAATCGTGCAACAGTATCCCGTTAGTCAATAATTGATATTGTCGTACCTATCAACGGTCCTATGTTCAATTATATTGGCAATCAGCGATAGGTATCACAACTTTATAATGTAATATACCTTATTCATTATAGGAAACTATATTACTACCATTTACCATAGTTCTACTATCCTACCATTTTCTAAGGGATTGCGTTTGCCCCTTGGGCCGTCGCGCCAGGAGTCTTCCTGCACGCCCTCCGGCAGGCTCTGCCGCGGCCAGGCGATTGCAGATTTCGGGTACCCAAGCCAAAATCTGTGTTTTTTGGGAAGAAATCACCAACCAAATACAAAAGAAAGAAAACAGCAACAGACATCAACAAGAAACTACTCAGAGTGATATTGTATCTACGATAATCCAAGTATCCCAATAATTGGATGGTGGGACAATTTGCAGGAAAGCCCTATAATTTCAAGTAGCCACCGTCGTTTCCTGTAGATTTCTTCCTTAAACCAAGGCAGCAAATTTAGATCCAGTACCATCGATGACTTTTTGGATCCTTTGCCACCGGAGCTGCCTGGCAGGTTGACATGAAGCACCGCAGTTGGCAGAAAAGGGATGCAGCTGGTGCAGTGTAATGACCGATGGTCACTAAGGTGCTACCCCAGAAGTACTTAAAACATGTTGGAACCAAGCACAACTAGTCTCAAACTGATGTTTTTTTGGTGTAAAAACTATAGTCAGTTGTAAGAACTAAATTGTCTAACTGTGCATTCCCATTCCATGTGTGGAAATGTAAATCACATGTATTGGCACCCTATGATCCTCCACCGAATCCATTCCCCTTGAAAGAGAATAGTACTCTAAATTCAACCACTACCGTTCTTTCAGTGTTCAGACTGGTGTAACTTGTTGTTTTAGTCAGTATTTGCATACAAGCGAAAAAAATCTCGCTTCCGCAGATTGTTTGGCCGCCTGACTCAACATTTTCCAAACCATAACATGTTTATTTGATTTTATTTGCTCATTATCCCATTCAAGGTTTGAAACTCTCAAAACTGCTCTATTTTCTGGGATATTGAATGTTATATAACACCTATAGCTCCCCAAGTACCAAGCATCCTGCAAGGTGGTGCCCCAGTTCGTTAGCCAAGTTGGTTTTTAAGGTCCAACAACTGGGGTTTATGACATATCGAATCATATCAATAGTTGGCAAGGTTATAAATCAACTTAGCCTAACGAACTGGGGTACCCTTATGTATTTCAATATCCCTACTACATGGCCACTATGGCTGCTCCAAGCAGGCCGAGTTCCGCCCCGCCGCCTCGCCTCCCGCGGCCCCCCGTGGCACCACCGGCGCCGCGGGGAGGGCCGCGGCCGCCGGCGCGGCCACCACCGCGGCCGGTGAACAACTGGCAGGACTGGGATGGAGTCTTGCTAATTGGGGGATTCAATAATAAACATAGTGGGAAGAATAAATTTCAGTTTTTTCTGTTTTTGCTGGGGGTCTATAAAGAACCATTGATCCACTGATAGGTGGTATTTAAGGTCAATACCATCATGATGTCATTGAAAACCCAAGTCATAGCGTCATAAGAAAGGGACTGGATCCTTCAGAACATGGGTAACCTTTGTTGGGCAGGTTGATGATGGTTTATTGTCAAGCCACAAATTGTTAAAATATAGGGCGTGCATATAATATAAGGGCATGCATACATGCGAAGTACTCCATGGAGTTGTTGAAGATTGAGTCTGACAGTCTACCTTGAACCTGAAGCTACCTGTTGAAATGATATAATATGTTATTGTTGAAATGGGGGCAACGTGAGAATAGTGGGAATGGAAGCCTCCAAATGTTCGAACCTCGAAGGACCCAAATACCCGCTGCAACGGTTAGATGCATTGGTTAAGTAACTCGTCAATATGCATTTGAACCTCTCGGAGTTGATTTTTTATCCCCAGTCTGTCCGTGTTGAGGCCATTAGTTATCGCGCAGCATACTTTTGAATCGAATATGTTTTGCCAAGAAAAGAACTGTTTTTATTGTCTTGTTTTGAAATGATTGCCTTCTTTTAACACAGCCCAAACTGATAAATTGGCTGGAAAATCCAAACAGCGGCACCCTGGTGCATCCGCCAGCAACTTGCTGTGACCAGGATCGTGGCAAACAGAAGCAGCCCTACATTGAATCTTCCCAGGTGCTGACTCGCTGGCGGTGTTGATTTTTATGATTTTTTATGTGTAAAAAGTGTTGGTTTCTGTAATTTAGTGTCTTTGTGTTCAGTATAGATAATTCTTACGGCCTTGGGGTATTTTGGGGTGCATTCTTATCTACCATCTTCTGTCTCAATGCTTGCCTTTGTAGGCAAACCACTGCTTTGGGGGCATTCAAATGTGTTGTTCTTTCAATCCCCAATGGCCAGTTTACCATAATTTACCCGTATTTTAGGTTTTTACTTTCCTATCATCCTATGTCTTTCGGGGCTGCTATAGGTCATATCTGATGCTGATTGCCACCAGGCGAAAAGACAACGTGTGGAGTCCCACAAGCAGGCAGCGCGCTGGCAACATGTCGACCTCGTTGTGTATCCAACGGAAAAGCTGACCCCCGTGACCATAAGATACCATAAGTATGCTGTATACCATCAGTTTGTATGAAGGGTCTCATACCCACCAAGAACCCCGAATAAGCGCTTTTTAGTCGTCATAAATATGGGTGAGGTCACCTTTGAGAGAGCTGATTGAGTCCCCATGAACATTGTCCATCGGTTCCATGTTTGTGCAGTATGTTGCCATGGTTTTTGGGTCAGAACGAAGATATCGCCAGTTCTCCATCCCTCTAATCTTTTGATGGGACCCTCGTATTTACTTTATGGACGCTCCACATTGTTCAGAGTTGGAGTCCAATTTCAAGATTGTTTGCTTTATAATAATATCCTCATTTGCTTTACCGTATCACCACTCTTGCTCATAAAATGCCATGATGATTGCTGCTGACAGTTCGAAATCTAGCTGGTTGCAATCAAGCAGTTCAGATGTGCACCTTGAATTTCATCCACCTATGCAACTGAATCAGATATGCTTCTGTAGGCAGCAAAGCAATGGGAAGAGTGGGAGGCATTGGGCAGCTTGGGGTCTGCAGGGATGCGAGGTAGGCTGTTTATTGGCTGGGATCATCTCCGACATTTGGTTGAGTTCAGATTAAGACTTATGAATACTTATGATGATCGTTTACCCTACGCAAGTACAAAACAACGAATGTAGGTTAGCCACGCGAACCCAAGAATAGGCATAGGATGGTATAGGTGAACATCCCCAAATGGACTACAATGTTCTATGTTATGTGGTTGTTGGAATCTTCAAAAGGTACGGCAGAATTGTTTTGACTCATGTGCGCATCTCTTCGGATCGATCTCACAGGTGCATACAGGCGGTACAAGAATTGCAGGAGATCGTATGCCAATAGCTATAGATTTAGTGCCTTAGTCTACCTGAGCAGTCTTGCGACTTAAGGTGTGATGCTTTATTCCGGGGTCTCTTGCTCAGAATGAATAGTTGCAAATTGGACAAATCGTTTGAAATTCGGGAAAAACATGTGGAAGTGCGTTTGCACCATTTTAAAATCAACAGCAACAGTGCTCTTAGACAAAAGACAATGTAAGCCGTAAGCGAACGAAAATGTTGTTTGAGCACAACACTTGTTGATTTCAATATATGTCATTAGTTACTGTGCTTCCCTATGCCTGGAATTGTCGTGGCGAGAAGATAACTTCCCTATGAGTGCAGGAGGAAGATTGGGAAGAGGAATGTGAAGAGGAAGCATGGGACGAAGATGATTGGCAAGACTGGAAGCAGGACAGGATCTATATCCATGTTGTATTGGGTCAACCTTGGCAAATGATGGGCTGAGGATTGTTGAGGTTTAACAGTTCGAAACATGAAACATCATGAAACTTCCTTGCAAAACGAATATGTTCTTGTGAGGGTTCTAAGGTTGACCACAAATGAAGTCTGAAGCAAAATCAAGAAAAGTCCTTTTTTTGGGGGGGCATTTTGGGTGTAAGGCTGAATATGAACCCAGGGGTGGTATGGGACATTTGGATAGGTTTCGTGGTAGCAGCAGTTCGCAGGGGAATTGTCCTGCTAGGAGCAGCCGCCAAAAAGCAGGTGGTTTGCCGGGATGGTGGTCATCGATCAGAAAATGTCAGCATGCGGCAGGTTGGACTTCCAAAATTGAATGTTTGGAAAACAATGGAAAACCTGAAATAGGATGAAATGGGCTATATCATGCTATATCTGGATCCATCTTTGAATAAAACAAGATCGTTCTAGTAAATGCTCAAAACGAAGTGGGGATTTCAGCCCTATGCCACCGCTTGTCGCAGCCGAAAACAACTTACGGTAGGCAGCCAGCGAAAGCTGCAAGTCATGCCAAGGCGTGGAGACAAAGGTTTGGTGTGGGGTTGCGGACAAAAACAGTACCAGGGGCGTATGTTGGATAATCGGAAATATACTCATGATACTGGATATAATGACTGCCTAAATAATACGCACCTCACAACAATGTCGCCAGACAGATGATGATTGGTAAGCAAGCAGGATCATCCCCAAGTGACAAAAGGTTTGGCGAATTAGTGTACTGCAATTCAGCCAAGCATGAGACAACAAGAATCAGTATGACATGACACAGGAAACTGACGATGTGAATAGCTTTGCAACGACTAGTAATCAGCACTGGGAGCCAGGAGAATACAAGGATTCTTCTTTATTTTTTTTACGTAAATCACAACGTTCACAGCGACCTGTTCAGATGACCATGAATTTACCCCAACTGAAACCGATTGTTGGAAAGTAGAACGCACCAACATGATCAGGTTTTTTCACGCATAATCTATCCAGAAATCAATAATTACGAAAAACCTGGGGATGGCTGGCAACAACATTCCAATCAACAGCTTCATTGGCTCAAACAGTGGGCGTGCTTATTTGACGGGTTTTGCTGCAAGCTGCACTGTTATTATGCAATCAATTCACGTTTGATCAGTAGTTGTGTCACATGCATTGGCAAGATTGTGCTTTGATGTGTCAACATGGTTTTCAGATCCACGTTTTTTCAACAAGTTAGACACTGTTATGAGACCAAATAGTTCTATCGATGTCCATAGCTTTATGGACAGCAACCGCTTTGACAATGAGCGAACATGAAGGCCACGACCCAGGCCAAGGGGAAGACAAAAGCCCAAACTGGTCATGGCCAAATTTTCCATGACGCACCATAAACAATATCTTGAGAAGAAGAACAGCCAATTGAGAAAATCCCATGGTTGTTTTGGGCCACTTGCCATGGAATTCGCTGAGAATGCCTTTCCCGAGGCGATTTCCGGCCGGAAAAAGTGGTGGAAGCATGTTCAAGCTGGTCTGGGATAGTCCCCTATCGGATCCCTGAAAGTGAGTAAACTAAATGGTAAATGGTTGGTGAATGTTTTAATTCTGATATTTGCATGGACGCAGACTCTCAACCTGATTTAATACCCTGGGTGGTGAAAGTTCTACCATGTTCTACCCATTTCTATGGGGGCTTTGAGGGTAAAGGTGTACTAAAAGCCATCACAAAACAGGACCAACCCTGATCAAAGTATAGGCACGCATACAATAGCAGTGGCATATTATCTTGAGGGTGGAGGGAGGCGCGACAATTTCCATCTTGATACTCTCTTTTGATCAAGCATAGCAATAAATTATACCGTTTTAGAAGGCAAGTACTCTGTATACATGTTACAAGCAGCATTTCTTGCAATGCTAGGGCCACAAGGTATACCACCGGATTGGATTTGCACGGGACATATATCACCCAGACGATACAAGCCATCTTGAAGCTGGTTGCGTAAAACCATGTAAAACCCATAGAAATGAAGTTTGACATACTCAAAAGACCTGCAAGGTGCCTGAAAATATTTGTTTGTAAAACTATCCATACGTACTACATGGTACTACCCTGGATGAATAACGCCCCAGGCTGTTTAATTTGCGGGGTGGTACCATTTTACTGATCCAGGCTTGACATGATCATCCCGCAAGAGGTGGCGGAAACTATTTCGTCCAAGAACCATCATGTCATCACGTTGTCATGGGTGAATTTCTGATCATTTCTGATAAGGTACACATGCTTGCAATGCATTTGGATACATCCATACATTTGGAGCAGTTGTTGATATTGCAACCTCATGGTCGACCAAGCCCCGGACATTAGGGTGGATATCGAGGGAGCCGTCAATTTGATGTCTGAGGAAATCAGTTTGAAGATTTAGGAATTATCCAGATGAATCCAGATGCATGTAGATCAGGATTTGTCCATCTATGTGCGAATTTCCATCTATCCATGGCCCCACAGTGTCTCTCCAAATCTGCGGTGCACAGGACATGGACTTGTTCGATTGGTTGGCTCTGCCGACCTTAAGCAATGACGAAAATGGTGGGGGCACCTGGCAATTGTGGCGACAAGAATGGGCCTGCCACCCGGAATCGCGAAAGGTGACTCCTCCCCCAAGAACGATGGAGATTTAAGAAGCTGAATGGGGATTTACGTGCCTTGATTCAACAGATGGGGAATGTATAGAATGACGAGAGTTTATCAAGGGCATAGGGCAAAGTAATGACCCACGACCACGTTTGTAAGGACCAATATCTTAACCATCCAGTTTGGGCGGTTATCGAATTGGGAGGGGGTTGGCATGATAGCAGAGCTGGATGTTTGGGCCCATTTGTTTACTTTGAATGTTGCCACTTTTACCGAGTTTGACTTATATATGTTGCTGTGTACTGAAAGGGTCAAGGTACTTTGCAGATGTGTATTATGTTCAGTGATGAAGGGTTGTCCTCTGCTAATACAACATAACCATCGAAATTGACCTGTTTGTAGATGATATGTAGATGATTCGCTTATCACTTTCCATGGCTATATTAGTTCGAAGGTATTGGTATGTTTGGGTCTTAACCATGGCGAAGCTGTAACACCCATGGTGCTTGAAAGATCCACTTGATATGGCCGCGAACCTCCCATAGTTAGCCAAGTGTGTAAACATGACTCCAATAACTCTTGGGTTTATATGGTAGATATGTGTATATAATAATATATATATATATTATAGGACTAGTTAATTGGAAAAACGAAAACCAACAACACTAACAAGGGGATCCATATACAGACATTTACTCACATTTGTATGACACACACGCAGAATTAATGATTGAATGTGGATACATGCCCACAAATTCAGTCTACAGATGCATCTAAAAACTTCCTCTGAACATGATTATCCATTTCACGCTTGTCATTTCTATAAAACAGAGGATTCATAGCGATCTTGGCCCGCCCCAGTCGAAATCGGTGGAAAGCAGCAAAAGTGGCTTCAAAGCCGAGTTTACATGTGGTAGATCATCATGGTTAAATTGATTGATATCCTGCTGGTATTTGGTTATTTTTGTTGCTGCTGCTGCTGGTGTTGTTGTTCTTGTTGTTCTTGTTGTTGTTGTTTCTCACAGTCATTTTGGCTGTTGATTCTACTCCAACTTTCGTGGCTGTTGGAATTCCAGGCCTAGACTTGGCCTTGTTGCTGGCGCGCGGGGCGCCCCAGCGGCGCAACTGGTGGATATTTGGCGGTGGATTTTCCCCTGTTGGTTGATGATTTACCCATCATTTATAGGATCGACCCTCTGGTAAACTAACATAACTATGGAAAATCACCATTTTTAATGGGAAAATTCACTGTAAATGGCCATTTTCAATAGCTATGTTAAATTACCAGAGGGTATAGGGGATATCATCCATACATATAAGGATGATAATGGATAAATGATAGTTGGTGAGGGATAGGAGGTGATACGATCCAACATGAATTGGAGATTATCATATTACTAAGTTACATGTACTGGGAATCCACATGAAACAACCAGTATGATGGAAAATCCACCATTTGGGGAACTTCTAGGAATACATTCTAGATTTTGCTCTTGGCCACACAATGTTTGGGTGAATGAAAAGGACCTCAGAACCACGTCGCAACGTAACTGACGGCTAGTAAAGGGTCATTATCCCAAATTTAGGTAGGTGGGTGAATTCAATGCAGGCAGATGTTTTTCCCAGCTATAAACCACCATTTATGCGGAATTTCAGGTATAACTTTAACATCCTTTTTTTGAAACGCTTTTGATGCCGGAAGATGATGCCAGGCAACTCGCGGTGCAAGAACGGCAGCATGGGCTGCGTTGTGGTGGATCAGAAGGGGCAGGTCATTGCAGGCAGGATGGGAATGAGACGGGTGGAAACTCTAGAAATTTGATTGTTTGAATGTTGGCATCTTAAAATGTGGAAATCTACTGTATGTTCTACATGCTTGCATTTTTCAGTTGGAAAATTACTATGACATGTTATTCAATCTTATTTATCGATATTGACCCATGGTTTTTGTTTGACAATTTTCAGATATTTAGGAAATTTCCAAAATCATGAGGGATCCCAAGTTATCTTCCAAGTTAAACTGGCTATTTTTGATAAAAGGAAACCAATGGTGATATGGCACTGCACCCCTATTTTAGGGCTCATTGGTAGTGATATCTTCATTTTTAGATGCTAAAGATTCATGTTGCTCAAACCATACGTAGCTTTGTAGATACTTTTCTCACGGAATAGTAGTGCCGAGTGGGATATCCGATCTTCCTGCAACAGAATGAAAAGAACCGTTAACGCCGACTCTGCAACTTGCAGTTGCAGGGGGTGAGAAAGAAAAATCAGCATGAAAAAAGAATACGCAAGCAATAACCAAAATGTTTACAGTAGTACCAAAAAATGCAAAGAAAAGGACAGCCCCCAAAGGTGGGACCTACTGGGAAATTTATCCTAGCTTTGGTAGCCAGGTAAGCCAGGTGACATGGGTCCCATCAGTCAGCGTATAGGCCATGTGAATGGCCCGATGTGGGAGCCCAATGCCAGGCACTGCGCTTGCTGTGATGTTTGCCCCAGCAGCTAAAATATGATAAATATGTCATTTTCATATGGGAAGCCGTTAATCATGTTAATCGTTTTGGGATATCCCAAGTTTAAGAAAGCACACGAATATACGCAAATATTAACGTGTAAACAAGAATATTATGTATATATGCATTTCAAATGTACGGCTACAATCCAACAGGTTGGCGCATGTTGCCCACAATCAATTTGATTTTATAGCCAATAAATACGTTGGATAAACATGGTATGCGGGTGGAACAAACAATCTAAGTTTTTCAGTTGGTAAATCACAATAAATCATCCATATATATAGTAAATGGATATAAATGGGCCTAATTGTCCACAGGTATGTGAACATGCGTTATATGCTGGATGTGGCAATATGTGGTATATAGATGTACTAGTATAAAGCGAGTATTGTTGTTGGATTGATTATTTTATGTGGTTTTTGTGGGAGAATAATCGCGTAAACAATTTCAACACCATGGCATGCAAATGGGGCTGCAACCTCAAAACAAACCAAGAAATTGGAGAGAATGGAGTAACATGGGAACTTAAACATCAAACATTCGAGAAAATTGGGATTCACGGATTGACCCATGAAACAATGTTTAACCAAGTAAACTGGGTAGGTAAGGAATCATTATCCGATCTGGTCAAAAACTTACTGGATGATTTCCCCAAAGTAGTCAATTACTGTGGGAAACTCTGGTCATTAGTATTGGAAAAAAATCCTTTTAAAGTAGGGATGGAGAATCATCAAAATAAGGGGATATAAATAGTGGAAAAGAATCGTGAAAACTATGGACAGTGATATGTGGCAAAATGTAGTAGTATTTAATAACGGGATTTAACACCAACAAGTGGAAACCTATGCGAAATTAACCCAAAGTACTGTAATAGTAGGTGAATGGGAATTCCCAGTTCATGGGATATTATAATCCCCAATGTGTTTGGTAGTATACCTCCTTACAAATACAATCAGATGGTGTTGGCAAGTTTCACTTCTCGGAAGCACATGTGCAGGTTCAAAAGTATAAAAAAAAATCTGACTAGGAACGCGCATTTTACTGTATATGCTTGGATGACTTAAGGTGATGGTTGACTCTGAGAATCTACAATATATTACACGGCTGATATGAAATGATATGAACATGTTGTCCGCAACCTTAATGTTCGCCCAGACTCATCATTGTGACATAACAGAGACAATTCTGTGTTGATGGGAAGTTGCGAATCCAAGCAAGGGCAAGGGGGGAAATTAGGCCACGATGGCATGTGAAAGAGACCTTGAATACAGTTATCTTCATGATCAAAACATATCACCTGACCATCATGAGGGATCAAAATCCGCCACCGTCTATGACCAATATGCTGAACAGGCTAACAACACGCCACCCTCTATGGCCACTGTTGAATCTTGTTATTACATCAACATTATATATTATCTTCATGAGGGAACAAAATTCACCACCCCCTATGACCAATATGCTGGACGGGCTAACAACATCAACTTTATCTTCATGAGGGATCAAAATTCAACACCTCCTCAGAACAATATTTTGGTTGGGGAAATAACATCAACTTTATCATCATGAGGGATCAAAATTAGCCACCCCCTCTGAACAATACGTTGATTGCAGGACATCAACTCCGGGCAAACGTCCAGGTTGCAGCGAACATGTTTCGATGCAAATGATTATGGACATGCACATGGGATTCCATAGTCTCGATGATATTACAGTAATCACTGCTGGTGGTATGGAAAGTATCCCGATCTCTGGTCAAGTAGCCCAAGGCTGGTTCTCATTATCATTTCGGTGTCGGTTTCTACATGTTTCCTTGCTAACGTTCTGGACAATTACAGCCCCTTCTTTTGATGAACAAATCTTCTAGAAAGAGATTCAGGTTGCTTCCTGGAGCACATGTTTCATGCACAGGTGTTCATGGTTGCCACCCATTGTCCATCAATTCATATCATTTTTCAGATGGGGATTGTGCTTCCCCACCGCGAGAGGCGTCCAGCTTCTGACCTCCATGCAGAGGTGAATGCCATCGGACGCTGCGCCATGCTGGGGTATCTTGGTGAGACTTTGCCGAACATGGTCTGGTCGGGGAACAATATATAATTTTATATAAGTTTAGAATAATTTAGACCATACTTGGGATGACATACCATTAGACTATTCCCCAAAGTTTGCTAATTTAATAGCTATGGGGTATGATTGGTAAGAGGAAGTGTATTCCAATAGCCATACATTGCCATAGATATTGACCTACCAACAGATTTGTTTTTCTGGATTATTATAACTGGCGTGTAATATTTTTGTTGGTGGTGTCAACTATTTGTTGTTTTTTAATCATACAAAAGGGACGACTGATTGAGATTGCTCTATGATACTTTTGGGATGGGTTAAAACCAACAATCCACTTGTTGTTTTTTCTTTCCCACCATGAGACATGGTGAGCATGTTTGATTTTACTGCTTGATTGATAGTTGTACTATCAACTATCAAGAGATTGAGCTGGAAAAGATTGTGATTTTTGTTTGCATGAAATTGAGATGGGGATGGCTGAAAGTTGGGAGACAACGCACAAAAAACACACACATTCACCATTCCATAGTCAAACATGGCAATGCGAAATCCCTTCTGAATAGGAGTTGGTGCTGTAATGGGAAAATAATTTGAGGATGGGGATTTTCCATTGCCACATTTGACGACGAGTGGGTATGGGAACATGATAAATATAGTATATAAATATGGGGTTTGGGGTTTACCACATTTTGGGACAAACACAGATGCAGTGATACTCGAGTTTCTTCAGCTGTCTAGTCCCCTGTTACTGGTACGTTTTTACTTTGAACGGTAAAACAATAGAGCAATACAGAGCGCATCTTCTACAAATGCATGACTTTCCATTGCTGGCTCTTTCTGGATTACCACACGGCCGTAGGGTATAGTCACAGGTCTCCTTTTACTTGGTTGCTAAATAGAGGGGGAAGGGCTAACCGCCATTGAAGAATCGGTATCACCGTTGTATTTCTCAGAAGGACAATGTTCTTGGGATAGACTAAATGAGTTTGTCCAAAAACAGTGGATACCCCAAAAATTACCTAGTGTTCTCGCGAAAAGGGATGACCACCCCATGAGATTCTTGGGCCTTGTTTTCAGCCAAACCCAGATGATCCTTGAAGCTCCTAGGCGCTCCACAGCTGGATGTACCGTCTATGTCGCTGGGAATGGCTTTCAGACAACTAGGGATGAAGCCAAGAAGAATTGGTTAATCTCGTCAGTGGTGTAGGATGGTGTAGGTATCCAGGAGTTGTACAGCAAATGCAGGAGCACAACTTGCTACACAAACATGATGGTAGCCCCAATTTGAATCGGCAACAAGGTCCAGAATCACCTGCAGCTCAGGTTGCAATGCACCCGTACCATCAACCTGAAATTAGGGGTTATACAATGTTATACAGCCCCTGTGAGCGATAATTCCAACCATTGTTTTTGGTTGCAGGTTGATGCTTTCCATGTTCATTCTAATTATAACATAGTATAACCCAACTTGTGGGATCTAGTGAGTTTCCATGTTCATTCATGACATGCCGACCTTGCATTGCGGATCTTCCGCTTATTTCGCCATATCACCAGGCCCTTTTTGGGTATACCTTGGTAAACCTTGGTAAAGGGTACATTGGTTCATAGCTTGCATAATTCTCCGCCATTTTGAAGGGACATTCTGAAAGATTGGACGTGACTGGTCTTGATGGTTTGCAATTATCAATGCCAAATCCTCACCGATCTCAAAAACATGCCACCTTTTCCCCCCAAAATGCTGATGTACTTTGGTAGCATCATTCAAGATGCCACATGTGTTTGTTTGATAGGATACCTCAAACTTTGATTTTCTTCAGTCAACTTGCCTGATAGATCAGGTTGGGTGTCTCCCACTTTTCCACATATCTAAAAATCCAAGTTATATCCCAATTCTATCCCCATCTTGGTCAAATTCCCCATCCATCCTTATTCCCCATTGTACGTCCCCATTCTTTTTGGCCAACCCAAAGAAAATCAAGATGACGCATCCCCATCGTAAAATGTCCATACCCATGCAGTATATCGCCCATGGCTTCCATTCTATATCCCCATGTATGTACCCTCCGGTAATCAAACATGGTAATGGAACATCTCGCAGTTAGTTCGTTGATTGTAGCCAGAAACCTCCATTTCGCTCGGGGATTTCTCAGCTAGCCACGTTTGATTACCGGAGGGTAAATCCAATTGATTACCATTAATTAATCATCATTATAAACCAGTATTAACCACTAATAACTTACTACTGTCAATCATCCCCGGTATATTCCCATGATATTCAATATAATTAGTCATTATGTTTTTTCTCTTCAACTTGTTACTTGATGGTGAATCATTATCAATGGTCAATATCCACTATATTACTGTATATCCCAATGTAAGTCTCATCTTCCAGGTTACGATGCCGCCCTGCAAGCGTTGCTTCATGCTGCTGGTGGCCAGTGGTGTGAAGCGCATCGTGACGCGGAAGCAGATGCTGCAGCAGGAGGCCAAGGACGATGACGGGACGCGACGGGAAGCGCAACCCCTGGAACGGAAGATATGGTTTTTCAATGGGTTTAATGGGGCGATGAACACCAAGCAATATGGGGATAAGATGGGTATACAATGATCAATGGGGATACAAAGTGGGTTGAACGGGTTGATTTGGGGATTTTGTTGAAACCAACCCTTCGGAAAAGGGAGATGATGAATATGTGGATGACACATTAAGCATTGTTTAATGGTGTTTCATCCGTTTGATTCGGGATTTGAAATCGTGTAAAATCATCCAAAACGGGGATAACATGCGTATGTTATGGGGATGCAATGGTATATATGTGCTTTATGGTCTTACAACGACTTCAATGACCGACATCACTTTAGATGATGATTAGGATTTGGGGAATCATTTCCAATGCACCTGTTCATGTTGGTGAACTGATATAGTTCAGCCAGAAAATATGGAGGTCAGAAACGCTATGCGCATCCAATGAAGCCACCATCCATTGACCCCTAGCCATGCGACGTATCGTGGAGCCAGTCTGACAAAACATCAGCTACAAAATCTAATAGATGTTTTTTTGCATGTAAACAAAATCCGAAGAAACATCCGATTTATATGTAAAAAAACATGATTGGTGAGTTCATCATAGTTCATCCATATGCTGTGGACTGTGTCCACTGGGTTGATGAACTATGGGTTCGAGAGGCGCATCCCCGTCGAGACATGTTGTGGAAATGGCTTTTAACCTGCCTTCATGTGGTAACATTCAAAAAAAACACATTGAATTTTTAACTGGTTGGTGGTTTTTGAACATTTTTTAAGGGATGTCATCCTTCCCATTGACTTCCATATTTTTCAAGATGGTTATTGCACCACCAGTTAAGCTGCCATAACCTGCAATGGGCCAAAGGTTTCTACCGCTGCCCCTAGGGCCATCGTCAGGAGATTGAGCCCGCGGCGCGGCGGCATGAGATCTCGCTGGAGGTGGGGTTTCGAGTGGCAGGAACCAGAAATTGTATCCTCTGGCAATGGCAATGAAATAGGAACCATTAAATTAGTTGGTAATCAAACCTGGCAATTGAACATAACATCCTACATCAATGGAAACTGATAGCTGGCAAAATCCATTAGTTGTACATGATTGGGAGAAGTTAAGTGGGTTAAGCCACTTACCAGTGGTTGCAATGGGGATATACTAATATACTGGATTAACCTTATATATCTATACTAATTACTACAAATACCACTAATTAATTAGTTAGTAATGGGAAGATATCTCACATATGTATATATATATATTATACGTAAATGTACAGATAACAGATACACATTATTGAACCTTGTTGAAACACCTACTAAAAAGGAGATGCACCTGGAATTGCAAGGAGGAGAAGGGTTCAAACTTGTTACAGTCAGAACCCGCTGGGAATCCTCAAGCCAGCCATTGTTTGATAGACTTTCCAGCAAATTTTTGACACTGCCTCAGTGAGAATACAAGCATATATGAAGATGATTGATGGTTGTCTCATGTTCATCATAATCTAGGATGATCTTCAATAGTTTTCCAACATTGATATCCGTCTTATTTATATATATATATATATGGACTATGTATGGGATCTTCCGATAGGAATCCCCAATTCTTCATAGATTAGATCAGTATTTGGTGCATGTTTGTGTGTGGTGTTTCCCATCAGTTTTTGACCCCTATAATGTTGGCCCCCCCCAGATAGCCAACTTGATTTATATGCAACTATTAAGCCAACTATGCTTTACCGTGTATATATATATATATCTATCTATCGGACTAAATAGATAGGTAAACATAAATCAACAAACATAACTGGGTGGCCTGGGACTTCGTAACAATCTATGTACTGGTATGATTAGGTTCACCTAAAAGAATCCTCTATTTGCTGTGGTTAAGTCGTTTGAATCCTCCAAATTTCTTCATCAACTCATCCGGATTCACATAGCTCCAACACGAATCCACCAAGTTGGGAAATCCACATGTGGCAATCAAAAATTAGCAATTTAGAAAATCTTCCCTAATCATCGATGAGTTTCCTATCTAGAAATTTCTATTGTTCGGCGTTGAAACACAGCCAACCACCTTTGATTACCAGTTGGTAAGTTTCATGAATAACCATGAATCACCATTGTAATGTATTTACCATGAATCCCATCAATAACCAGTATTATCAATCCCATTAACCATTAATAACTAGTAAAAACTAGTATTGAACATGAATGGATTTGCCGCCTGGTTTTTATAAATTACATTAATGGTTAATCATCACCATCAATCACCATGAAGCAACAATAATCCCATTCATTCACCATTCACCATCGATACCCTCTGGTAATTTGGGACATAGCTATTGAACATGGCCCATTTATAGTTGATTTACCTACTTTAACATGGTGAATTTCCATAGCTTTTGGATTGCTTTTTGTGTACCAGAGGGTTATCATCCATTAATCAACCATTAATCATCCATTAATCATAGCCATTAATCATCCATTAATCATAGCCATTAATTAACTATTATTATCTATCCATTTATCATCCATTAATCCAATTATCTATTAATTAACAAGCTCCAGTCCCTTGGATTTCCCTATTGCCGCCTACGCCACTTTTGCGGCAGGTGGTGCTGGATAGCGAGGAGCGCCGGAGGCGCTTGGACGAGCTGGGCGCGGCCAGGACAGCCAAGCGACGTCGCTGGGCGGCAAAACATGGGGATTTTACCAGCAGATAAACACCAAATCCTGAGGAAAATGTGAAATGATGATTTTAACTGTCAAAGAATGGTGATTGATGTGGATTTTGAGTGGGAAGCAATGAAATTTGGTGGATAAGCATAATGATTATATAATCATCACGTCGAGAATGATGATTAACACGTGGATTAAGAGGGAAGATAACTGTGGTGCCCTCTGGTGATCTTACTATACAATATCTTACATAGCTATGGAAAACCGACATTTGCAACGGGTAAACCATCGAACCGAATGAGCCACGTCCATGTTCCATATTGCCGTGTAGATTTGCACACCATGGAAGACATGCATAATGAAGTTTAATGAATATCATATGAATATCAATGAATCTTAATGAATATCAATTCATATGAATGAAAATCAATAAATATGAATGCATATGGGCATACAAACAGTTAAAACATCTCCAAATCTGGATTCGGGGACCGGTGATTTCCACTAGGATGTTCACTATAGAATTTCCACTATAGATGAATCTAAATGGCTATGGTAATTAAACAAACACATAAAGTTTGCAACTTCAGCTGCAACCGTTTGGTCGTAGGCTACAAGATCCCGATCTTAGCTGAGGAAAGACGGACCCTGAGAGCACGGCAGATGTAGCAGAGGGGGCGACCGTTCCGAGCGCGGAGGAAGAAGTGAAGAGCGGCGGTGCTAGGAAGATCGAATTGAAGTTTAGGAGGGGATGGAAAGTAGGTTGAACATGGTTAAAAGTCAAGTTCAAATTTGTCAAAACCCTTCTCAACATTTCTCAACATGTTCATGGCTGGGATGTACCAACTGGATCCAACCAGTTTATTCAGAAACCCTTGCTGAGTGGGTTTGGATGCCACTTACTAAGTGTACGACTCACTTAAGGCCCTACGGCATTGTTCCAGTGGTAGTGGTTGACTCAAGATCTCGCAGCAGCCGCAAATAGATTGCCTTCGGTCAACGCAGAAGTGGCAAGATAAGCCATCAGTGATAGATGTTTTTTCCCCATACCCTCTGGTAATTTAACATAACTATGGAAAATCATCATTTTTAATGGGAAAATCCACTATAAATGGTCATTTTCAATAGCTATGTTAAATTACCAGAGGGTATTAATGATCCTTTCATCGAAACGGGGAAGCAATATCTAAAATTATGGGGATACAATAGAACCATCGAACAAAGACTAACAATGAATTTAGTAAACACACATAGAAATGTATACAACACCATTCTCGGTTATATGAAATACGCACCAATATGGGACCCATTTCATGGGTACATCAAGTAAGAAAGAAAGGGTGCGTTTGGTATTACGGGTAAAGGATTTGATTATATTACTTATACGCAATATATGTATATAATGTTTGTTTTTTGTGCGATCCTACAAACTTTGAACACATGGCAAGGGAGAAGTATCCCACTTGTAGCCTTTTGTCTTACTCAGAGTTGACACTTCCATTGGCATGACTCTCCGTTGGAGATGATTCTGCCGGAGCAGCACCTGAACATGTAGGTCACGTACCCATGTCCAGTTTATACCCCATATCAATATCCTCAATTGAGGTTCAGGGGTTGTCATTGGGTTTCAGACTTTGGTATACCCCTATTTAAAACCATTTACAACATGGTATAACATATATATATATATATACATACATTTCTTGCGATTTCCAAATGGTTGGTGGTTGGAGGATGGTTTGTGCGCGTCAGGCACATGCTTGGCAGCCCAAAGCTGCACCTCCAAAAGCAGCGCCGCCCAAAGTGGCGGTGAAAGCACGCTTACCCGAGGAGCCACATGGCGAAGTCTCCTGGTCGATTACCCAAGCATTGTTGATGTTGGATCATATCAGGGATCATTGTGATATGTGGGAATGTGTTTGATGATGATGATGATGATGATGATATTTGGTAGGTTTCAACAGTTTGTTTGAAGGGTCATCAATGAATCAATGCTCTCGTGCTTAATGTGTTTGGACACTATTCACAAGGATAAATCCCATGGTTTTATTTCGTCCCGTTCTATATCTCTAAGTCGTAATTTGTGTGTGTGTGTGAATGATCGGTTAGTTTTCATTGGCCTTCATGGGAAATTGTCTTGGTCATGTTGCTGAGGCAAAAACCCTGGCTGGGCACACACAGACAAATTGTGTGATTTCAACTCACAGTTGTTGGTCTTTACAGATCAACTTTCAGACGTTTTACGGAGACACATTTTATACCTGGTCAAAACTGACCCTGTCCTTTGATCGGATATCTGGGATTAGCATAAGTTCAATTGGTTCAGTGATTGTATGGAGGAGGATACAAAAAAGCCTCAACACCTGGCCAAACATTCGTTTGTTCACCATGTGGGGCCCCCAGCTATAAGTTGGTAAAAAAAAGCAACATCTAGCTAAGGATACATCTACATACCATAAGCCATAATCCCTACTTAACTTGCTGATAAACCAGCTTGCCTATATGAGGCCCCATATTGTAGCATATGGCTAAATTATATACAACAGCCTCACAACAGGGGGCCAACGTAGATGATGCTTGGTTGGGCAAATTATTAACAAAACGAAATGATATCAAATAATAGACATTGATATACCATATTTTTTGGGGATGAACATCCATAAATCTCAGCGGATTTTGGTGTGAACAGCAGGACATTTCGTTCGGTTTCTGTCGTCACAGGAGCTGGGCTTCAACGTCAGCAAAGGCGTGCGACAGAAGGCACCAGTGTGCGGTGTGTCATGCACTGGGAGGGTTGGAAGAGTTCAGGTCGAGGTTTGTCTGAACAGGTTGGGACATTTGGACTTCAAAGGACTATCATCAGTTGTTTCCATTTACTAAGTGTGTCAAAATCCTTTTTTAAAAAATATACATTGCATTTTGCGTATAGACTTATCACAAAAGCAGCTCTACTTTGATTTCCCATTGTTTGAAAAACGACAATGTTTCAACTGAACCAACATGATGGAGAAATCACAATTAAAAGCAATTGGTTAAACCCTTGCAACATGGGAAGCGCGTAAAAAGGGGCAGACAAGATGATGCAGGACATGTATGGAAATGTAGTAAAAGAATGCCGCTGACGATGCTGCTGATGCTGGTGGTGATGATGACGACGATCCCAATCAGACATAGTCTGGTTGGTGGTTTTCCATATATTGGGAATAGTAACCCCAACTGACTAATATTTTTCAGAGGGATTGAAACCACCAACCAGTAGTTGTGTTTTTTGTTTAGCAAAGCAGAACTGTTCTTGTTACCAGTAAGGTGGGCCCAAAAGGTGAGTGACTTCTATGCGGCCAGTACTGGGGATTTATCATTGCCTTGCTTCGGTGCCATGCTGCGCAGAATGTCGTATAATGATGTAATAATGATGTGTGATGTGGTAAACCCAAACTGAATATATAGGTTGAGTGTCTTTACCCGCACAAAATAATTGTTGAACCGGTTGAATACTGAACACTGCCAATTTTGTCGGTCTATTGGTACCACATTGCATCAATGTAATTTATCATCAGGGGTATACCTTATATATCATACTCGTACATATATAATCCACTATATAATATGTAAAGATGTATGTTTTAATGTATTGCTGCCTGCCTTTTTCCCGCTCAAGCGTCTGGAACACGGCGCAGAGTTTGGGACGTTGTGAGAAAGGGGTCAAGTTGAGCAACCCAGTGGCCTGTCAACACACCACAGCACATTGGGTGAATTTGGCTGTAAATTGAAAAATAACCAGCAATAATGACGGTAGTTTCAAACTATGTGTTTTGACATTAGTTGGTGGCATGTTTGTTTTCGACCGTAGAAAACAAATGATGATCCCCAATGACACCCCTCCTTTTGGATTTGGTTGAAACCACCAATCAGCAATGTGCAAGACCATTTGAAAGGCTGTGACGACCCGCAACACGTGGGGTCGGAATCAAATTCTTGAAACACATTTGAAAGCCTAGACCGCGATTTCTTGGCGTCGACCACATCGCATCAGCAAAAGCAGTGTCCCTTGGCCATGCATCACTACTTCAACTTTCCCAAGCGCCACTTGAACGCCATGAAGTGGTCGGACAAGCGACGACATCGTGGACATCGTCAGAAATTGCGTAATCGTCGCGAACAAAAGGACTGGAACAGGAACTATGGACCCTTGGCATGATGTAGTGGGTTGATCAGTTGGACAGTCAAATAAGAGCAAAAAGCCTTTGGCATGGAGAAAAGATAATTCAGGGAGATTCTTGCAATGTTTTGAATGTCTCGTCCAGATGGTTTGCACGTATCTGTGTCAGAAGGTCTACTGTAAATGAGTTGGCACTGTCGAGAAATGTGGTCATGCAATGGGGGCATACATACCAGTAGTTCGAAGAATTTGCAAAAGCTGCCATTGTTTACCCTCCATTGGTCACAAGATGTTTGCAGACCCACCACATGACATGAGCAGTGGCCAAAACACGAGGCTGTTTGCGAAGCTGATTGACCTACCTTGACCCTCAAAAGGCCCATAGAAGTGGATAACATGTTGAGGTAAGATACTGTACATGTTTCGACTAATAGGGAAAGGCAGGTCGGACTTACACCAACACATTTCAATCGTGTCCAATTGTGCATCTCGCCCAGCTTGTCTTACTGAATATAAAAAAAAAATGGAAATTGCACCAAGGACAAATTTTTCCACCACACATGCAAACCGATATAAAAGCCCATCAAAGATGGTATCTGAGGCTTACCACGTTTGCACAGAAACACATCTGCCGTCATTGTTTTCCTGTTTCTGTGTTTGATTTGTTTCTGGGAATGTACCAAACAAATAATGTATCAATGATATCAATGATGGGTGTCTATTCTGTATTGGCTTCACCCTTGCAGATCAGCCCGTTGTGAATGTCAAACAAATGTCTCCAATGAGATCCATCATGTCTGTTATTTTTGTTGCTGGTTACCTGGTTGTTATCCTAATGTTGAACGGTAGTTATAGTTGTAGCACTTAATGTTTTAGTTGGTGAAATTCAGAAATCTGCCCGGTAGAGTTTTATGAAAAATCGTATGCCCATAGGGGATGGCCATTTTAATCCATGGGATTCATATAGACCCATTGTGTTTGGATTCCCATGAGGAATGGATCATGTTTCGCCCATAAATTCCATGTTTTGATCATGTCTCGCGGTTGCCATCTCCAGTTGGTTCGTCACCTGAGGTCAGCGTGCGAAAGAGCGAGAGAGAAATTATCATTCCTATGGCAAGGATTGGCATCAGGACGTGTCGAAGTGTCGATGATTTCAGATCAGTGGCAATTAGCTATATTATTAGTATTTAATTATATATATACCATTCGTATATCAAGAACTATATGCAATATCAGTGTCAGATCGTGATTTTTGCATCACAAAAAGGTAATTTAGGGTCATTTGGTGGTTGAATGGGGATACGCTGGGATCATATCGTTATATATACGCTGGGATCATATAGTTATATATAGTTATATAATTATATATCGTTATTTATAGTCTGGATAAATTAGGTATATCATATAACCAAAGAACACGCAAAATATGGGAAATAATGGACAACAATAGGATATAAAACTAATGCATGCCAATAATATGATTTGGGGCTGTCTGAAAATGGAATACGTCTCCAAATAACCATCTAAATCTAAATAGGGTTATGAGATTTTCTGCGAGCCAGGTATTGGAAAATGTAAAAAAAGAAATCCTCATTTTATCCTCATTTTATCCTCATCCTAGAACCTCATTAAATTTGCATCAGATTTTGCCTTGGGTTTTTATCCTCATTTTATCCTCATTCTGAAACCTCATTAAATTTGCATCGGATTTTGCCTTGGATTTTTATCCTCATTTTGTCCTCATTCTCAATCCTCATTTTATCCTCATTTCCTCATCAAATCCTCATTTTATCCTCATTTTATCCTCATTTCCTCATCAAATCCTCATCAAATCCTCATTTTATCCTCATTCTATCCTCATTTTATCCTCGTTTTATCCTCATTTCCTCACCAAATCCTCATCAAATCCTCATTTTATCCTCATTTCCTCATCAAATCCTCATTTTATCCTCATTTTATTTTCATTTCCTCATCAAATCCTCATCAAATCCTCATTTTATCCTCATTTTATCCTCGTTTTATCCTCGTTTTATCCTCATTTTATCCTCATTTCCTCATCAAATCCTCATTTTATCCTCATTTTATCCTCATTTTATCCTCGTTTTATCCTCATTTCCTCATTTTATCCTCATCAAATCCTCATTTTATCCTTATTTTATCCTCATTTTATCTTCATTTCCTCATCAAATCCTCATTTTATCCTCATCACCGCATTTCCTCATTTTATCCTCATCAAATCCTCATTTTATCCTCATTATATCCTCATTTTATCGTCATTTATCCTACATACATACATACATACATAGGTTCATGAAACAGGGTGCAAAATAAATGAAGTCAGATAATGAGGATTAAATGAGGTTCATGAAACAGGATGCAAATTAAATGAGGATAGATAATGAGGATTAAATGAGGATAAAATGCAAATTTCAATGATTTTGGTCTTCCCAGTGTGTGGCTCACAAAATCTCATAAAAATATGGCAATTAATGATAATCCGTTGGGGTACCACATTTTCAAGACAAACGTATCATTCATACGGGGATTCTCAAAATGGGAGACCCCAAAAACCAATCGTTTTCCCTATTTCCCCATTCAACGTTTCAATTTGGATGATTTTGGGATCCCCCTATTTTAAGAACACCCCATAAAACAATGAATCAGGATGTGGTCGTAGAATGAGATTAATAAGTGCCTGATGAAGATCAGTGATCATTGGTCAACTATACAGAGATCACTGTAATTGTCGTCTTTCTGAATAAAGCGTCTGATTCGGAAAATCCCGCCAAAGTACAAAGGGAACCAGCACAGTTTTTTTTTTAATATCCCCACTCACCACTCCCTTAAATGGAAAAATGGGGGGGACCTTCGGAAAATGTAACTTACATTTTTCGGGGGGCAGGGGGAGGAAGACAAAATGTGAGTTACATTTTGCTAGGGGTGTTTTGAGGGGTGGTAAAAATGTAAGTTACACCCCGCAATCATATTATGGGAAGAAATGGCCGGGGGATGGGCACAAAAAATGTAATTTACATTTTGGAAGGTCCTGCCACGAGTAAGCTTTAGACCATTTTTAGATCACAAGATACATCAAGATACTAATAAGATTTGAATATAAACGGGGCACGTCCATGTTAGTCCAATATTTCGGGGATTGCCCAAAATGTGACTTTAAAAACCTTTGAAAATGTAACTTGCATTTTCCCAACATGTCAGTTACATGTAGGCAGCACCCGCCATTTTTTGGAGGGGACCAAAAAGGGAACAGTACAGTACATCTTCTAGGCTCCAAAATATTGGGTAAAGATTCGGTAAAAATTACATTTTCCAGAGGCCTCCCCCCTTAACTTGGTAGGGATTACATAATTAATGTGGGAGTTACTCTTCCAAAAAAAACATTTTGTCGGAATAGGGCCTGACATATTGTTGGTTTATGATGTTTGTGGACGTTTGTGGTGGCAATATCCTCCTAGCTTGCCTTGGAGGCAAAAACACGTTGCATCACTTGATGGGATCTGTTCAGATGGGTTGTAACTCTCATCATGCAGAATATCTCAAAGCCTTCATGTTCAATTACCCTCTGGTAAACTAACATAGCTGTTGAAAATCACTATGTTTAGTGGGTAAATCAACTATAAATGGCCATTTTCAATAGCTATGTTAAATTACCAGAGGGTAACATAATACCACCCCTGGCAATAGAGGATACACCAACCCATGTATTGGGCTAAATGTGTTCCCTCACGACTCTCGACCATGACGTCATTGGCCGTGACCTCTCGACCATGATATCATTGACCATGACATTACCTGTCGACCATGATATCATAATAATAATATATTGACCAAGAATTGAGAAACAACGTTTAAAAAAAAATGCCACGAACCATCCCCCAATCCTACCACAACCAGGATTGGGATGATTGGAGCGATCAGGATGAAGATGATGATTGGGCACCAGAAAAACACGGAGACAATGATTGGGCAGACCAGTCCTGGGCTCCTTGGCGTGTTCGTTGTTTTCCTGGGGAATGGGGGAAACCTGGAAGGATGGTTTGAACATGGTAAACTCAATCGTTGACCATTGGGGTGGCAGTAAGAACCATACCTTACAAAGTGGTTGATGAAAACGGGTTTAGAACATCAGTTGCCTTGCTGTTTTTTGTTCCTGGGCGGTTAAGTTGGGATGTTTTGAAACCCATGGATTCTGGGCACTCCAGCAACATTTGGATCCTGAATCGTGATATTTCCAAAGATTGAACCCAAGAGTTGCAATTCTGAACGGGAATATCACCAGGACCTCAGAACGGGAATATCACCAGGACCTCAATGTTGTGAGGGTTTAATGTGAGTCTTCACTGGGGTAACAACCTTCTTGACTTGATTTTTGATTGAGCACAACGGGAACGGGAAGTTTTTGGTCCATGTGGTGTTGTTATTTGCCCCCCTGTACTTATGAGCAGGACACCCTCGTCCGAATCAAATTCTAGTCACCGCAGGCACATGCATAGCTATGAATCCAGCTCAATATCTGACATAATTGTGGCCAACCACTGTGTGAAGACCTTTTGAGACACCTAATTCTAGGCAAATCCTGTTGTCCGTTATTTGGTACCATTTGACCAATTCCCCAATTTATCAGTAGAATCCCCATTTAGTTGCTGAATACTGTATCACATGTCCATATCCATTTTTGTTTTGTCATATAAGTTTCAGCGCAATTACGTTAGGTGGTCATATGCCCATATCCCTGAACACACAAAACTCAATTGTGTATGTGGATGGATTTGCAACTGTGTATCGTATGGGATGATCGATATGTGATGGAACCGTTCGAACATGCGTAATACATATTCCATGATTTTGCTATGATATTCCGTGTGTACGAAGCTATCCTAATTATCTCTCCTTCCGGTGACCATGTCGCTGCCATTCTGCAGGTAGACCAAGGTAGGCACTGGGGGGCTTCAGGATAAGAAACAAGGGAGAGGATGAGGGAAACAACTACAGAAACAGGAACAATTTCTTGTTTGGAGAGAACGACTGAAATGGCGGGGCAATGGCACAATGGTTTCAAAGGGGAATGTTCCATTCAATCGACTGACTGAGTAATTTCGGTGGCGATCCGAGCTACCAAGCCTGAGGTGAACGATGGTTTAAGATGGTTTAAGCCCTTGATTTGGGATAATTGTTGATACCCTGAGGGAAACATAGAAGAGCAGATGGAAAATCAATGTGTTCTCCAGCCAGATGATCTAGGTTCATGGTGGTATCAATATGTTGATGCTAGTTTGCTGCTGGAAATGAGTCTTCCAGAGGACCATTTTGATCATGATTTTGCCCCATGGCTATTTCGGGGGTGAAACGTCTTCGAGCAGGGCGGCAGCTTTGGCACATTTGTTTGACTCAATACCGACTTTGTGAAAACAATCCGTCACCGTAGCAGTTGAGCAAGCAAGAAGAAGATAGCAAGATTGTTTAAACAAATAGAGTACTTTTGAGAACTGGGCGCTCACGTGACTTAGGTTTAGTTCCCACATGAGGTCATTACACTATTTCCAGATATGTTGTGGGTTAATGGCGGTTATATTTATCTCATTAAATCCAGATTCAATACACATTACATCCCCATGGAATCCAGAGATAACTGATTCAGGTGAGACTGTCGACTGTGGAGCAGGACATCATGGGGATGGGGTTGGGGAAAAGCGAGGAACATCCACTTACCTGCCTATTTAATATAGGTATGTTTGTTTGTTTGTTTGTTTGTTTGTTTGTTTGTTTGTTTGTTTTTAAGGTAACTCATCTATAAATGGGAAATGTTCGAATTCTATAGCCATGTTAAATGATCCGCAGGTACCAGCCGTTTTGCTTTTCACCCCACATATTAAGGAGGGTTGGAAGACTCATACCCAGATGGCGGTAGCAGACTCGCAGGACCAACAGATCTGTACATCAGCCACATGCGCGGATCTCAGCCTGCTCCATGGGAAAGTGGCCCGAAAACATGCCCAAAAGGGGATCCTCATGACACCTCAATATGTAGTGCGCTAGAACGACAACTGACCAAATAATAAGTATAAGCAGATGGATGGCTCATGTTTCACCCACTATTTGCACGGCTCCCAGGCCTTCAGGTTGGAGAGAGTCC